CAATAAATACGAAGGGCTGTGGAAGCTCGGGCAGGCGGTGCCCTTGCTCACTAGAAGCAGGGAGCTCTCTCCTTCTTCCCCGTGTTACCCTTCCTTTAAAATAGTCCCTTTTGTTTTAAGTTTTCATTTCTATGTTCGTCCCCCTTCCTTCAGTCTCATGATGACGGTCTCAAGTAGTAACAGCAGTCTGCCACAACACAGGAGGTGTGAAATCCACATTACAGAGGCAAACGGGCTGCTGAGGACACTGATGTTGGTGATCAAAGTTTGTGGGGGGCCTGGGCAACATGGCGAGACCCCCACCTCTAATATATATATCTATATGTATGTATATATACACACATACATATATACACACACATATATATACACACATATATACACATATATATACACACACATACACACACACACACACACACACATATATACACACATACACACACACAAAAATTAGCTGGGGGTGGTGGCTTATGCCTGTAGTCCCAGCTATTCAGGAGACTGAGGTGGGAAGATGGCTCGAGCCCAGGAGTTGGAGACTGCAGTGAGTCATGGTGGCACCACTGCACTCCAGCCTGGGCAACGGAGTGAGACCCTGTCTTTGGAACTAAAAAAAAAAGTTCCAAGCCAGGCGTAGTGGCTCACGCCTGCAATCCCAGCACTTTGGGAGGCCAAGGCAGGTGGATCGCCTGAGGTTGGGAGTTCGAGACCAGCCTGGCCAATATAGTGAAAGCCTGTCTCTACTAAAAATACAAAAATTAGCCGGGTGTGGTGGCACATGCCTGTAGTCCCAGCTACTCGGGAGGCTGAGGCAGGAGAATCCTTTGAACCCTGGAGGCAGAGGTTGCAGTGAGCCGAGGTTGTGCCACTGCACTCCAGCCTGGGTGACAGAGTGAGATTCCGTCACACACACAAAGTTCCTAGGGTGAGAGATTTCCCTCCCTCCCCTGCCTGGCCCTGCTCCAGGGCTTCATTCTCAGGAAGCAGGGATGCCCCGGGAACACCAGAGTTTGGAAGATGCTCTGGTGGGTGTTTGCAGCTGGGTGGGTGGGCAGTGGGGGCTCCCCTGCCTTTGGGCTGTCCACTGCCCTCTGCCGGCTGGGCCTCACCTCAGTTGACACTCAGAAGTGCTCCCCATTTAGGGGCAGGTGCCTGACACCCTGAGGCCAGCTGTGCAGAGGGCTGGAAAGTGCCTAGAGTGTGTGTCCTTTTCAGTGCACAGCAAAGGGACCCTCAGTTCCATTTTACAGGTGAGGAAACTGAGGCAGAGGCAAGGTGTGGTCAAACACTCCCTGGTAACTGATCCATTAGTGGAGTCAGGATCCCCCATACTATTTTCAAGAACCAGACAGTGCCAAGGTTCCTCTGGACCAGCACCTTCCTCTCTGCAGTCAGAGGGCAGCAGGGGCAGCTTTGCCCTGCAGCTGTGGCTGTGTGTGCCTGGCAGCTGCCTCTGCTCTGTTGTTGAGGATGACAACACCGGCCTTGCATGGTTGTGGTGAGGATTCCGCAGACCCACCTCCATCCTGCTGGGTGGTCTAAGGCCACACCTCCCCACAGGGTTGGCTCACAGCCCAAGCCCTGGCCATGACCTTCCTCCCATGGCTCAGCCCACCCAGCTTTCCAATCGAGGGTGCCACAGCCACTACCCCCGGCTTTCTGGGGCAGTAGGTGGGTGACCACGGTACAGGGCTTAGTTGAAAAGCAAAACAGCCTTGAGGGCTGGTAAAATCCCGTTCAAAGGGGGAAAACCCGTGAAGAGACTAGGAAGTATAATCCTCTCCTGGGCACAGAGAACACACAGGACATTCTGAATGTATTCCACAGGACGAAACTGGTCAGTCATTTTCTCTCATCTCCATGTGGCTTCAAATCAGCCAGTTTCTTCAGCAGTGAACTTGTTTTGACAAGTAACTTATTCTAGGGACCAAACCCTCAGGGCAACTTCGTATTTGCTGTGTCTTTTTTCAGCGATTTTCAATCTGCTTTCTAAGGTTTCAGGGATGGGCTACACTTGCATGTTTATTAAAGTAAAGGTAATTGACAAATTGCTTTTAAATTGTAATGTTGAAATAAAGTGACAAAACATCGAGTGATCTTTTTATTATATTAATATACTCAGGGTGAATTAACCCTTAAGCCCTAAAACAACAACAAAAATATATTACTTAGATATTTTGTAATTCTGGTACTTGAAATAAAGACAAATAGAAAACTATGTTAAAATATTAAAAAGTTGCAAAATTTCATTAAAAGTATTTACATTTGTATTCTAATGCTAATTTATACATACCATTCTTTTAAATTAGATTTAATGGAATACCTTAACAGAAATAATAGAAATAAATATTAAATATTCAGAACATATTCATGAGTGAAAATTCAATTATTAATTAGTATTCCTAATTTAGACATTTATTTATGAATGACCAAGGGATTTTACAGTTCCTTTTACATTTTTTGTATTTGATTCTTGGTCCCTTAACAATGTATAACCCTGTAAAACTGTCAGTAGCCACTAATCACTGGTAGAATCATTTCAACAAAAAACACAGGATCGGGCCGGGCGTGGTGGCACACGCCTGTAATCCCAGCACTTTGGGAGGCCAAGGTGGGTGGATCACAAGGTCAGGAGTTCGAGACGAGCCTGGCCAATATGGTGAAACCCTGTCTCTACTAAAAATACAAAAAAATTAGCTGGGCGTGGTGGTGGGCGTCTGTAGTCCCAGCTACTCGGGAGGCTAAGGCAGGAGAATCACTTGAACCCAGGAGGCGGAGGTTGCAGGGGGCCAAGATCACGTCACTGCACTTCAGCCTGGGCAATAGAGTGAGACTCCGTCTCAAACCCCTACCCCGCCAAAAAAAAAAAAAAAATCCCATGATTCTTCTGTAAATAACAAAAGAGGAACCTGTTTTAAATGAACCCAAGTTTGCTTGTCAATCACTAAAAATGAAGTCTTTTTATAAATATTTTCTTTAAGTTACAATATATAGAAAAAGTATATATGTGTGTGTATATATATATTTCTTAGAAGTTTTGATTGGTGAGAAAAGAATAATTCCTTGGTTAACTTTTCTCATTCTTGTTCTGTATAAAGAAATGTTTTGTCTGTATTTTTAAAATTGATTAGAAAATAATGGCCAACATCTCTTTGAAACCAGAAAAGTCATTTTACAGACATCTTGGCATCTATACTCTGTTTTGTCTAATAAACTTTAAAGTATTTCTCTCCTTATACTTTTTATTTTTTGAGATGGAGTCTTGCTCTGTCCCCTGAGCAGGAGTATAGTGGCATGATGTTGGCTCACTGCAACCTCCGCCTCCCAGGTTTAAGCGATTCTCCTGCCTCAGCCTCCCAAGTAGCTGGGATTACAGGCATGTGCCACCACGCCTGGTTAATTTTTGTATTTTTAGTAGAGATGGGGTTTCACCAAGCAGCCACCGCGCCTGCCCTCCTCTCTCCTTATACTTCAAACACATTTAACCCGGGCATGGTGGCTCACGCCTATAATCCCAGCACTTTGGGAGGCCGAGGTGGGCGGATCACGAGGTCAGGAGTTCGAGACCAGCCTGGCCAACATGGTGAAACTCCATCTCCACTAAATATACAAAAAATTAGCCGAGCATGGGGGCATGCACCTGTAATCCTAGCTACTCGGGAGGCTGAGGCAGGAGAATTGCTTGAACCCGGGAGGTGGAGGTTGCTGTGAGCCCAGATCGTACCATTGTACTCCAGCCCAGGCGACAGAGTGAGACTCCATCTCAAACAAACAGATAAACAACATTTAGCAGAGTATATATATTTTTTTGAGATGGAGTCTTGCTCTGTCATCCAGGATGGAGTGCAGTGGCACAGTCTCAGCTCACTGCAAGCTCCGCCTCCCGGGTTCATACCATTCTCCTGCCTCAGCCTTCCCAGTACCTGGGACTACAGACGCACACCACCAAGCATGGCTAATTTTTTGTATTTTTTTTTTTAAAGTAGAGACAGGGTTTCACTGTGTTAGCCAGGATGGTCTCGATCTCCTGACCTTGTGATCTGCCCACCTCAGCCTCCCAAAGTACTGGGATTATAGGCTTGAGCCACCGTGCCCGGCCAAGCACTGCATATTCTGAAAGGTTCTTGGTAGGTCTTATATCTTACTCAGTATTCTGAGTCAACCAGAGGTATTAGTTTACCAAACATGGAGATTAATTCATGCAAATTCATGGTTATTAATGTATCCAGGCCAGGGAGTACATTGTTCAAACAGGGATTAGTTTTTAGATATTTCGTTGTTTCACACGGTTGGCAACTAAAACATATTTATAGACTCATTGCATTTATACAAGCTGCATCAACCCAAACCTTTCTAACTATCATTTTCGAAGTTTGCCCATGCAACACCAGTGAGGCAAGCATAAGCCCTGAGCACCGGGTGGGAGGGGACTGCCCTTCAGTCCATGGTAGCCTAGGCCCCTGGGAGCACAGGCTGGGGCAGGGAGAGCGTGGACGCTTCCAGACAGACCCTGACTCCCTGCACATGGCTGCCTGGATGTGACATAGGCCCAACCAAAGCTATGGACGAAACCCCCAGCTCACTCCTACAGGAGGGGATGAGTTAGGAGACTGTTTTTTGAGGGTTGATTTCATCATTTTAAGCAATGTGTTGGTGTTTTAAACATCCTATGAACCGTTTGAAGAAAGTAAACTTACGGGTCCAATCACAACATGGATGTGGAAGGGGTGGGAGGCCCACACCAGCGGGCTTCTGCCTGCTGTGAACACAGGGTGATCAGGTGGAAATTCATTTAACAGTGACTTCCTCCACGTCTTCAGGAATTCCAAAGTGTGGAGAACGTGAAGTGCCTCTGAGCACAGGCACGGGAAGGGCCCACACCTGTGTCCACCTCAGTTCCAGCAGGGAGCGGATGCCTGGCACAGAGGCAGCACTACTGGAGACGCATCCAGCAAGGTGCGCGCTGAGGTGGGACCAATTCTCAAAAAAACTACAATTTAAAAAAAGATGTTCTCTTTTGCCTTTATTTCTTGCTGTAGTGGGAGCGTGAGTTCTGCTACCTGGGGCTGAGGGCACTGGGCAGCAGGCCTAGCGGATGGGGCCTGCAGGGAGAAGGCACGGCTGGAGGCCTGTGCACACCGCCACTCTCCTGGAACCACTGCTGGCCCAGCCACAGCCCTGCGGAAATTCTACTGCGTGTGGCAGAGACCGATGTGCAAAAGGTTTCTGGTGAATGTTTTATGGAAATCACTCCAAGCACTAAGGAAAGCGGGACCGTGCCTGTGCTGACCGGGGCCTTGCGCTAGCGCCCCCCGGGCGGTGCTCTCTGGCTCTCTCCAAACAGGACGCCTCCTCTTCTGATTCTAAGGAAGGCCTGAGACAGCCCTTACGAAGGCTTAACGTACAGTGCGGCCAGGTCCCGGCGCTGCACACAGGATCTTTGGTTAGTTCCACACATATCGTTTGCACGAGAGCTGACGGCACAGACATGTAAGAGGCGTGCATGGCTGGGAGCCGGGGACGGCAACCAGAGCATGGGGTCACCAAGGCCAGAGAGTTCTGGAGAAATGGTGTAGAATCAGGAGATCTGCTCCGTCCCTTACAGAGACAAAGGAGCCCGGGCACCGCGTCAGCGCCTGGCATGCGTCCTGCTGGAGCTCTTGCTCAGCCCGCCCTTCGGGGTGGGGATCTTGCTTCCGGCCTTTGACCCCGAGGGGCCTGATGCAGCCACAGCTGAGCTTTTCCCTGCAGAGCAAGCACAGGACCCACATTAGGAGGGTGCTCCTACCCATGGACCAGGTGCAGAACCTGCGGCCACAGTGTGAGTGGCTGGGAGTGATCAGACACCCAGCAACACCATCCGAGGACCCATGCTGATGGCCGTCACCTGACTACAGGAGCCAGGGCTGAGGCTGGTGGGGTCTGCTCTTCAGTTTCCTTTTTTTTTTTTTTTGAGACAGAGTCTTACTCTGTCACCCAGGCTGGAGGGCAGTGGTGCCATATTGGCTCACCACAACCTCCACCTCCTGGGTTCAAGCGATTCTCCTGCTTCAGCCTCCTGAGTAGCTGGGTGCCCGCCACTGTGCCCGGCCAATTTTTTATAGGGTTTCACCATGCTGACTAAGCTGGTCTCGAACTCTTGACCTCAAGTGATCTGCCTGGCTTGGTCCTCAAAGTGCTGGGATCATAGGCGTGAGCCACCGTGCCTGGCCAGTGATGTAGAAAGAGCGGAGGACTGGGGTGTGAATCCTAGGCCAGCCGCGGAGCCTTCGCACTGCATAGGCCGTTTGCAGGTGAAGGATTTTGGTCACGCGATTATGATTATTAGCCTGCTTACTAAGGAACCAGAACATGAAGAGAGGCTGGGATGCTGTTTTTTTTTTTTTGCTTTTAAAGGGATATTTAAAGGGATTTTTTTTGCTTTTAAAGCCATGTTGCCCTGGCTAGGGATGGTCTTTTGAATAAGTCAAAATGGAGGGACGCAGACTCCATCCGCTCAGCGCCGCTGGCCCTCACCTGGCTGCAGTGCCGGGGCCTTCTGCAGAATGTGTGTCTTGCGCAGGTTCATGGTGCAGCCAGCGGGGCCCATCAGGTGAGCTTTCCACGCCTGCAGCGGAGGAGGCATCAGTGTTAATCAGGTAAGACGGGCCTGGTGCGCTGCCCCAGACCCAAAGGACTCGCTGTGCAAGCTGAAAACGAGGGGCGGCTGCACCAGCAAGAGCTGCAGAAGAACGGCTCCCTCACCTGGGCACCTCCCTTCGGATATGTCATGATACCCTCTGTGATCTGTGCGGGGCACAACTCAGGAAGCACCAAGTCCTGTCGCCAGGCGAGCCTACATCTCACGTCCCCACCCAGCCACACAGGGCCCTTGGCGTCAGGGTCTCCGAGCACAGCGGGAGCCTACATCTCACGTCCCCACCCAGCCACACAGGGCCCTTGGCGTCAGGGTCTCCGAGCACAGCGGGAGCCTACATCTCACGTCCCCACCCAGCCACACAGGGCCTTGGCGTCAGGGTCTCCGAGCACAGCGGGAGCCTACATCTCACGTCCCCACCCAGCCACACAGGGCCCTTGGCGTCAGGGTCTCCGAGCACAGCGGGAGCCTACATCTCACGTCCCCACCCAGCCACACAGGGCCCTTGGCGTCAGGGTCTCCGAGCACAGCAGAGCGTGCACACAAATGCAAGGGTGAGAAGCAGCGTGCCCACGTGATTACATTCCAGGCCAGAAGACAGAAGGCGCCAGGCCCCGCGGGCTCCCCACCAGCCTGCTGCCCGCGGTTCCTCGTGGGGTCCCCACTCTCTTCATCCCTGTTCTTCCTGAGCCACGCCACATGCACTCGCCCTGCAGAACGCGGGGCTCACGCAGGCCTGACTGCCTGGGCAGCCAGCTTCCTTCCTTCAGGACCACCTGTGGGACCGTCTGCATGGGGACAGGGAGCTCATCCCATCCCCCTGCTGGATATAAACGCGGGACCTGTCTTCTGATTCCCCGAGTCTTCTGGACATTCGGGTTGTTCCTGGTTTCTTCCCTTCTATTTAAACAACACTCGTGAAGCTGGGCGCAGTGGCTCATGCCTGTAATCCCAACACTTTGGGAGGCAGAGGCAGGTGGATCACTTGAGGTCAGGAGTTCAAAACCAGCCTGGCCAGCTTGGTGAAACCCCATCTCTACTAAAAATACAAAATTAGCTGGGCGTGGTGGTGTATCTCATGTCCCCACTAGCTAATCCCAGCTACTCAGGAGGCTGAGGCAAGAGAATTGCTTGAATCCGGGAGGCGGAGGTTGCAGTGAGCCGAGATCACATCAGTGCACCCCAGCCTGGGTGACAGGGTGAGACTCAAAAACAAACTACACTCCCCAGGGACATTGCTCCAGCCACTCTCCCATTCTCTGGTGGACCAGGCTCTCCACTAGACATAGCCCTGCTTCTCCCTAGCTCCTCTCTCACTGTCACCAGTGGCTGTCACTTTCTGGCTGCCTGTGGTAGCCCTCAGGATGCTGGAGCACTTGCAGCCCCAGCCCTGCTCACTCCTGTCCCGCTTTAGCTGCTCTAGGCAGGCCTGGGTTCTCATGTCTCCAGGCCACCAGCAACCTTCATGTCCCTAAAGCTGGGGCGCCTTCTCATCAGGACGTGGCCCATCAGCACATGGGGTGCACTTGCTTCCTCCTCCCCTGTGGAGGGACACGGCCTGCCCTAAGGCTCCAATTCCTCCCTCCCCAGCACAGCGGTGGCGGGTCCCTCTCCATCCCTTGAATCTGGGTGATTGTGGCTTGCTTTGGCTAATGGGACAGTGGCAGACACGTGGCAGGGCAGGCTGAAATGAACTCATGTGCCTGGGCTCGTCTCGCTGTTGCCCTCTGTCACGCCCAGGCTGGCGTGCTGGGGTCAGACACATAAGCAAGGCTGAGGTGCCGCAGCTGCCTCCAAGACCATCCTAGATCAGTATCCAGCTGCGGACCCCAGGCACACATGTGTGAGCCCAGTCAGGGCCAGCAGAGCCACCTGGCTGCCCTGTAGCCAAGTGCAGATGCAAGAGCCGGGCGCCTGTGATCAGCTGAGCCCAGCCAGGCCAGCAGGGCATCGTCTCTGATGGGCTGTACTCTGGGGCCTCCAGGACGCCACCCTCATCAGGCTTCCTCCCCAGTGTGTTTCTTCCCCAGAGCCTGGTTTGCCTTCTTACTCCCACTCTACCTGGGGCTTAGCCTGTGGGCCTCTCCTCTGTCTACACTTGCTCTTTAGGAGAGCGCTTCCAGTATTATCACCTTAAACCCACTTATTATACACGCTGACAATCCCCACATTTCCACCTGCAGCCATATGTCTACCGGCCTGCGCATCTGACAGGCATTTTCACTCCACAGCTCCAGGCGAAGCTCCTGAGCGCCCTGGGTTCCTGACCGCGGTCACCGCCTCACCACGTCATGAGGACTCCACCGGCAAGTCCTGGGTCTGCCTGCAGTGCGTGTCCAGAATCTGACCCCTTCTTGCCACTCAGCTCTCTGCTACCACCTGACCTCTCTGTCCCATAGGCTGCTCTCAACAGAGCAGCAAAAGTGGCTGGCGTGGGGCCCGCCAGGTCATGCCCACTCTTCCGCTCAAACCCTGCAGGGGCAATGCCTTCCACTCACTTTGAAGAATAACGGTCAATGATTTTTCATCCCCAGTATTGCCTTCCAGTCTATTTATGTCCTTTGATGGAGAGGAGGTTCTCACCTTTTACGATTTAATAGTTTTATTACAAAATGAGTATACAGTTCAGTAGTGTTAAGCACATTCACGATGCTTAACTCCAGATCCCTTTTCATTTTACAAAACCCAAACTCTGCCCCAAGGTTCTCCATTTTATCTAACTGAATTGATCAGCCTCTCCCATCAAGGCTTAAGCTTTCTGTGTCCTGTTTGAGAAATCCCTTCCTATTCTGAAGACTATTCTCTTATCTCCAGCATCTCCTGAGAGATTCATAATTGGGCCTTTCACATTTGAATCTAAGATCCACTCGGAGCTTTCTTCTGAGCAGTGTGGAGGATGTCGAACTTCACTGTTTACCCCCCTTCACATCATTCAGAAAAATTCTGAATGATTAGCATTAGGATTAGCACACAAGGACTTTAAAGCAGATACCTACTATATTCGAGGACTTAAACGTGCAACGAAGTGCTATTGATCTATTAGAACCCGGGCAAACTTTGAAAACATGTTAAGTCAAAGACACAAAGGCCGCATAGTGTCCAATTCCATTTACAGGAAATGTCCACAGTAGCCAAATCCATGGAGACCAAAACTAGACAGATGGTTGCCAGGGGCTGGAGAGAGGGCTGGGGAGAAAAGGGGCGACACGTAGGCAGTGCTGTCTTTTGGGTGATGGGAAAGTTCAAACGTGTGTGGATGGCTGCGCAACCCCGAATACATGAACACCCACTATCTGTACATGGAAACGTGTGTGGATGGCTGCGCAACCCCGAATACCTGAACACCCACTATCTGTACATGGAAACGTGTGTGGATGGCTGCGCAACCCCGAATACCTGAACACCCACTATCTGTACATGGAAACGTGTGTGGATGGCTGCGCAACCCCGAATACCTGAACACCCACTATCTGTACATGGAAACGTGTGTGGATGGCTGTGCAACCCCGAATACCTGAACACCCACTATCTGTACATGGAAACGTGTGTGGATGGCTGCGCAACCCCGAATACATGAACACCCACTATCTGTACATGGAAACGTGTGTGGATGGCTGTGCAACCCCGAATACATGAACACCCACTATCTGTACATGGAAACGTGTGTGGATGGCTGCGCAACCCCGAATACCTGAACACCCACTATCTGTACATGGAAACGTGTGTGGATGGCTGCGCAACCCCGAATACCTGAACACCCACTATCTGCACATGGAAACGTGTGTGGATGGCTGCGCAACCCCGAACACATGAACACCCACTATCTGTACATGGAAACGTGTGTGGATGGCTGCGCAACCCCGAACACATGAACACCCACTATCTGCACATGGAAACGTGTGTGGATGGCTGCGCAACCCCGAACACATGAACACCCACTATCTGCACATGGAAACGTGTGTGGATGGCTGCGCAACCCCGAACACATGAACACCCACTATCTGTACATGGAAACGTGTGTGGATGGCTGCGCAACCCCGAACACATGAACACCCACTATCTGTACATGGAAACGTGTGTGGATGGCTGCGCAACCCCGAATACCTGAACACCCACTATCTGTACATGGAAACGTGTGTGGATGGCTGTGCAACCCCGAACACATGAACACCCACTATCTGTACATGGAAACGTGTGTGGATGGCTGCGCAACCCCGAATACCTGAACACCCACTATCTGCACATGGAAACGTGTGTGGATGGCTGCGCAACCCCGAATACCTGAACACCCACTATCTGTACATGGAAACGTGTGTGGATGGCTGCGCAACCCCGAATACCTGAACACCCACTATCTGTACATGGGAACGTGTGTGGATGGCTGCGCAACCCCGAACACATGAACACCCACTATCTGTACATGGAAACGTGTGTGGATGGCTGCGCAACCCCGAACACATGAACACCCACTATCTGTACATGGGGAGAGGTTGTGCAGACTAGATCTCTGCAAAGCTGTTAAAAACAGGTGATCTTAATGAGTGAACAGAGGTGAATCTTGGCAGAGAAATGAAACCTGTAGAGAAATCCCAGCCAAATACAAACACTGGAACTGGAAAGTACAAGATTGGAAATGAAAAATTCACTTAACGGAGGACTGGAGATGGAAGGAGAAAGGGCGCGGGGCCGTTCAACTAGAACAGAAAGGGAACACCGGACAAAGCCCCGTGACCCACAGAACAGATACAGCAGTCTTCACACTCAGGCAGAGAGAAGGGAGGGAACGCTGAAGAGAGGAAAAACATTTGGAAAACGAATGGCAAAACAATTCACACAAAATGAGAAAGACGTGTCTCAGCAGGCTGGAGTGGCAGAGTCTCCTGCTGGCTTCCAGGAAGTGAGCTGTCCAGCAGAGAGGCCTCCGCTGCTGAGGACGGTGGGGGCCTCTAGGAGCTGAGTGGCTCCAGGTTGACAGCCCCCAAGAACATATTACTGCCAGCTGCTGGGATGAACCTGGAAGCGAGTCCTTCCCTAGCAGGGCCCACAGATGAGAATGAAGCCTGGCTCCGGACCCAGGGAACCCACGAGGTAATAAGTGAGTGCCTGTTATCTGCTCATGCTGCAGGGTGTGAGGTGATGGGCCAGGCCGTGTAGATAATTAGATACAGGGAAAGCAGATGACACATGAGATACGCCTGCTGACAGCCTTACAGGTACTACCTGTAAGAGGATGTCAATTCAAATCAGATGTTGGGAACAAGAAGGGAAGGAAGAAAAGGTGGTTACTGGAGAATCTGAGTACTGCTCTTAGTAGGGAACCAATGGCAATAACTGAAATCAGAGGGGACGACGGGCATCGCACGGAAGGACGAGTAAAGGTAACAACTCGAATGCAAACACAAAGGCCCCTACATTCTGGAAATAACCAGGGGAAAAGATGTATGTGCAGTGAGAGCTGCTTGTATTGGGTAGAAAAGGGGCAGGATGCCCCGTAGGAAAAGCAGCCTCTGGAGGAAGGTGGATGGAAGTGGGGCAGGACAGCGGCCTCCTCTGTCTGGGGTGGAGGAAGGCAGATGGAAGTGGGGCAGGATGGCGGCCTCTGTCTGGGGTTCTTCCAGGATGCCTGATTCTATTGACCTGGAAACATGTCTTCGGTAATTACAGAACTTAATTCTTTAAAGTCCCCTAGAAATGGAATATAAAATGAATGTATTTACAGTTGGTGGCACTGCCAGCCAGGACTCGCCCAAGTCCCTCCAACACAGGGCCACTGGGCCCCCCGTTACCAGTGGAAGATGTGGTCAGGACAAGAACTGGGAACAGATCTGATTTCCGGCGGCATCTTCTGCCGGCGGTGCAGGTGCCCCTGTGCTGGGGCTGCCCCACGTGTAGTGGGGGCCAAGGTGAATTGGTCGCCTGCAATTCCTGAATTCTGTCTCCTGGGCCATTAGGTACCAGGGCCCATGGATGTAAGAAAGGAGACATAGATGTTGGGAGAGACAAGGTTAAATAAAGCCTGCAGCTCAGAACGGGAAGGGGAAGTGTGTGTGCATGAGTGACAGAGCTTACTTCCCTTGATTTCTCCCGGCTGTGTCCACTGACAGTCCAGCCACAGCAACCCACCCAGCAGCAATGGGCATGAGGCCCCCAGCGCTGTCCTGAGACATCCAGTCCCACTAATGGGAACCAGGCCTCTGTGACCAGATGGCTGATTCCAGGTCCGGGGCAGGAATGCGGCAAACAGGAGGGAACTCTCTGAGGCTGCATGGGTCTCATCCAGGCCTCAGGGGCCCAGCTGAAGAGTCTGCCATAGGCCAGAGCTGGGATAATTCACGCATCACTAAGCATGGTAACTGCAGTGACTGGAACACATCAAATAATTTAAATCCATGGCTCATAATGACACTACAGACAAAACAAAACAAATTAGCTGCCATGGAAGATGCTAGCGACCCAGCTTACTATTCTGAAAACCAGTAAACCAAGGAAAAGAATGAAACCTTCATTCTACCTTTCCAACACAAAGTCTAACCCAGGGCAACCACAGAGTGGATGAGCTTCCATTTAGAGGAATATCCCAGCAGATGAATGAAGGAGGGATGACAGAACGAGGCCCCTCCTGAGCCAGTGGGTTAGGCCCTGAGCATCAGCAGCTGCCGCCGTCATACACATCACGCGCCTCCTGGGGGACACACCAGCATTGCCTGTGAAGCGGCCACTCCCACACCGAGCCTGTGCACACCTGATGAGGCCAGAGATCCAACCTCCTGTTTACAGGAAGTACAGGGACAGAGAAACACGTTAAGCACCCCCAAGGGGACGTAGTCAGCAGATCCAGACGATGGTAAGCTCTATAGGGCAAACAGCCTCCTTCCTTTGCCAAGTGAATCGTAAGGAAAAAAAACGAAGAGAATGAACTTGTTCAAAACAGACCAACCAGGTACCGCGTGTGGGCCTTCTATGGATCCCAGTAATCAAACGCTTCTGAGCTGATGAGATGCCGCAATGTGACCGATGTCTGGAAGGCTGAGGCTGCGGCTACGTAAAACAGTCCCGATTCCAAAAGCTCCGTATGGGAACATTTACAGATAAAACAACATGCTGTCTGGGTTGGCTTCAACATTACACGAGAGGGGAGCACGCGGGGGCACGGGAGAAACAAGAGTGGCTGAGCTGCTAGTTGCTGAAGCTCAGTGACCGCTACAAGGGAGAGTCCTGAGGGTTTCTGTTACTTTTCTGTGTACTTTGTGATGCATTTCAAATTTTGAGAGAGAGAGACCGACAGACAGACAGAGAGAGCCAGATAACTGGGTAGACATTATGGCTGAGAGTGGCTGGGGGCTGTCTTCTCTGTTTGGTGTGTGTGTTTTCCGTGGTTAAGAGAAAGCTACAGTGGCTGGGTTGGAGCCATCTTGCTGAAAAGCTGGGACAAGGGGAGCCAGCAGCAGGACACAGTGATACGCAGCAGGTGGCAGGAGCTAAGGAGGTTGGAGTGGAAGTGGCTGAGCCAGATTCCAAAACTGGGTCCTGAGCAGGGCCCCAGGGCTCAGCATTCGCTGCCTGGCATAAAGAGGGCACCGCCAGCCCATCGTGTTGGACAGGGCCAGAATAACTGCCACGGAGCCTTGCATGGGGCCCACGTCCCTCCTCGTCCCCTCCAATGCCAGAGGAGCCGAGCACGTGGGGAAGCGGAGGGTGGGCACGTGCGAGCCGGCCATCCCCACTAAGCCTGCGGAGTCACAGCGCAGCGCACTGAGGCTGGGAGAAGAGCTTGGAATCAGGTAGGAAGGAGAATCGTTTACCCAAATAGGCCTAGGTTTTATTAGGCAAAAGGGACTGCGGTGTTACAGAATCTGGCCAAGGTGTCACTGAGGGCCTCAGTATCTGGATAAAAGCAATGACCAGAACAAAATAAAACCATCTCATGCTTGTATCCCGGTGACACAGGCTGGGCCTCAGTGAGTTGAGGCTCCTCGATAAACCATTTGTAAACATAGGGAAGGAAATCATGTGAACACGTAGCTAAACGGAAGAACTGTTCAGACAGGGCTCAGTAGACGCTGTCCACTCCCTGGACACTCATGTGCTGTACTCTGTGGCTGTGGTCCAGCACTAACACCACCACCATCACCGTCACCACCACCGCCACCACCACCGTCATCCACAGGTGTGTCACCTACTTCACTGGCCCCTCCCCCCCTAGGCCCCTCACCTCTTCTCCAGGGCTGAAGTTCTCATGGCACAGAGGACACCGGTTTGCCAGCTTCTCTGGTTTGGCAGCTGAAATGATTTCAAAAAGACTCAGTCACTCCCTGAATGACAGGTGACAAGACATGCTGCTGGCCTGCCCACAGGTGCTCTTTAATTCACCAAGCCCTTGCAGAGGCCCAAGAGCAGGGGCACTTCCTCCAGGAGGACACCTGGTGACCCGAGGGCACGGAGCCTGGGAAGGGGTACTCACGGTTGCACTCCTTGTTTTTTATGTGTCTGGGCAGCTCTTCCTTGAAAACAGCCTCGCTGCAACGGTAACACTTCCCAAACCCGTCTTTTTTGTCACATTCCGTCAGCAAGTGCTCCGTCAGGCTGGATATCTCCACCACCTGGATTTTGAAATACAGAGCGAAGCATGTTGCTGAGAAAGCTGAAGCGCCTCTGGCCAGCCTGCAGAGCCTGTGGGTGCCTCCCTCTGCCCAGGGAAATCTGTGTCACCTGCGCATGAAGCAAGCCACAGGCTTCTATCTTAGGCATTTGCCCACAGACTGTCTGGAGTCACTTGTGATGCTTTGTGAAGACCCCATGTCCTTCCTTTCCTGTCGCCGGAGCATTGGGCAGGGGCCGCTGGAAAGGATGGGGGAAGCTACGGTCGACCTGAGTGTGAAACTTGGATGAGGACACAGAGTGGCTCAGTGGTTATACGTGTGGCCCTGGGTTCATATCGTGGCTCCCAGCTATTTCTAAGAATGTGCACAGAAACAGGACCACAGAAGAGTTGTAAGAGATTCTCCTGCTACGTTGGTGTGTCTGGCAGAAATGACTTGTGTATGCTCTGTAACTTCAGGCCGCAGGACTTGACACACTGTGAGCCAGTCCAACCTCTTTTCTTCATAAATTACCCAGTCTTAGGGATTTTTTTTTTTTTTTTTTGAGATGGAGTTTCACTCTTGTTGCCCAGGCTGGAGTGCAATGGTGTGATCTTGACTCACTGCAACCTCTGCCTCCCAGGTTCAAGCGATTCTCCTGCCTCAGCCTCCTGAGTAGCTGGGATTACAGGCATGCACCACCACGCCTGGCTAATTTTGTATTTTTAGTAGAGATGGGGTTTCACCATGTTGGTCAGGCTGGTCTTGAACTCCCGACCTCAGGTGATCCGCCCGCCTCGGTCTCCCAAAATGCTGGGATTACAGGCGTGAGCCACCGTGTCCAGCCAGGTATTTCTTTATAGTAATGTAAGAAAGGCCTAATATAGGCGATCGGGGAAGACTTCTTACACAGGACACAAATAGCACGAACCATGAAAAACACTGGTAAGGCAGGCAATGCTAACATTAAAAATGAGTCTTCCTCAAGACACTTAAGACAGTGAAGATGCATGCTGTGCAGTGGGAGCAGGTGGTCACAATTCATGCAACTGACCAAGCACTCACATCCACATGTATAAAGAATGGCTCCAAATCAATAAAAACACATGGACAACCCGAGGTAAATGGGTGAGAAACCAGAAGGTGCTTTGCAGGAGGACAGCCAATGCCTGCAGACAAAAGGACGGGTGCTCCACCTCATCTTCACCAGGGACAGGCACACTGGGAACTCGCCAAGGCAGCAGGAAGCGTGGCCGCAGGGGCACTGTGGGAAGGGAGGCAGTGCCCGTGCTGCTGGTGGCAGTGCCTGGGCACAATCCCTTTGGAGCACTCCTGGGCAGCCCCACTGAGCATCAGCACACCCGGCAATCCCACGACACATCGTGAACCCAAGAAAGTGCATTCCCGTGCATCCTGGAAGACACCAGAACACTGTGGCAACATCGCTCGTCATGGTCCCAAACTGGACACAGCCCTCGTGCACAGCAGCAGATGGACGAAGGCGCTGTCGACACGACAAAGCAAGAAATCCGACATGACACCACATGGTTCTGTTTCTATAAAGCTCAAAGAGCAAGGAGCACCCATTGTGGTGTCAGAAATCAGGCCCCTGCTGACTCTGGGAAGAGCCCTGAGGGGAGGTGGCCGCACAACATGTTTATGGAATGACTCGCATGCGTTTTTCAGGGGTGTGTTAGGTTTCAGTTACTTTTCTCACAACCTCTCTGAAAATACTAAGCCTTGGGGCAGCTTTGTGACTCAGTCTTTCAACAGTCAGGTGTTCATGCTCATGCAAGCAGCTGGGTGGCTGTGCCCCGGCCTGACCTGTTTGCAGTGGTCACATCTTGTCAGCATGAGACAGTGCTTCCAGTAGTGGAGATCGAGACCTTCCTCTGTGAAGGATTCACTCCTTTCCCCACAAAAAATACACAAACTGAAAGGAAAGAAAAGCAGGAAATAAAGGTAAGGATCTAGTTCCACTGATGGCCGCTCTGCTCCCACGTCCCGAAATTCTGAATTGCCGCAGTCCCTGTGTTGTGTGCAGTTTCCCTCTCATTCCGAACTGCCTCAGTTTGCTCTGCGGGGCCTGGGCTGGGCCTCCCTTGCAGGCAGCAGTGGAGGCTGGGTGTGCCATGTGTTAAAGCACGATAGGAAAGCCCTCGCCAAGGAGGTACCTGAAATCAACGGGCATACGATCCTTCCAGACTTTCACTCAGCATCATCAAGCAGAAAGGATATTTTAAGTTACAATAAAAAGATAAGACAAAGACCCTACATTCTTATAGATCTGTCCTGGCTGCTGTAGAGTAAAAAGAATTTTGCTGCTGTGATAAGTCTGTGCCTGTTACGACGGTTTTGACAAACAGACTGGCAACTTCCATTGGGGCAACCGAGGGAAAGTTGTCTCTTTTTTTTTTTCTTTTTTTTGAGACGGAGTCTGGCTCTGTCGCCCAGGCTGGAGTGCAGTGGCTGGATCTCAGCTCACTGCAAGCTCCGCCTACCGGGTTCATGCCATTCTCCTGTCTCAGCCTCCGGAGTAGCTGGGACTACAGGCGCCCGCCACCTCGCCCGGCTAGTTTTTTGTATTTTTTAGTAGAGACGGGGTTTCACCGTGTTAGCCAGGATGGTCTCGATCTCCTGACCTCGTGATCCGCCCGTCTCGGCCTCCCAAAGTGCTGGGATTACAGGCTTGAGCCACCGCGCCCGGCTGGGAAAGTTGTCTTGACGGACTCGGAGTGGATGCTGGTTAGTGGAGAAGGCACATTTCCTACCTTTCATGATGACTACGAAGGGCCAACTAGGGAGGACGGGTTCCCTTTCCAGGGTTTCTGTGTGGCTCCTCACCCTGACCATCGTACAGTGGGTGGAAGACAGCGCGACTCACTTATCTGGAGAGCGCCCGTCAGCCTGACCGTCATATGGGGGTGGAAGACAGTGCGACTCACTTATCTAGATAGTGCTCATCCGGGATTCCCAGAGCTTCGGCAGGGGCTGCTTTCCCTCCTTGAATGTCTGAAGAGATTAAAACAATTTAAATAACTTTTTATAGAAATGATTTTCAAAATTTTAGTAAGCAGTTTGATGTGAGCTATAAAACCATGATACAAGTGAAAAGGTAGCAGTGTTTTCCATTCAGCTGGGAGATGGCTGAGGTGCAGCAGGTGTCCAGTGATACTTGCTGAATGGACGGAAGCCGTTTCCACACGGAGCTTCCATGACATGCATTTACACACCCTGATTCTTTACACACTCCGATTCTTTACACACCCCAATTCTTTGTGCACCCCAGTTCTTTACATACCCTGATTCTTTGGCTTCACAGCATCACTTTCTTTTTCCTAAGACACAAAAACAGTAAGGTCAGGGACAAAGGGCTGCAGTGTGAGTGTGAGTGAGAGCCTGCTGAGGATACGTTTTGATCATGAAAGCACATTTCTGGGTTTTGTTTTAGAATTTCTACTGGCTGGGCAAGGTGGCTCATGCCTGTAATCCCAGCGCTCTGGGAGGCCAAGCTGAGTGGTGGATTGCTTGAGCTCAGGAGTTCAAGACCAGCCTGGGCAACATGGCTAACAAAGCCCTGTCTCTACAAAAAAGACAAAACTTAGCCAGGTGTGGTGGTGTGCCCTGTAGTCCCAGCTACTCAGGAGGCTGGGGAGGGAGGATCACTTGAGCCTGGGAGGTGGAGGTTGCAGTGAGCTGACATGCCACTGCACTCCAGGCTGGCGACAGAGTAAGACCCTGTCTCCGAATAAAAAAATTAAAAAAAAGAATTTCTATCGAAAAATAACTAAACTTTTGGAAAGAGGAATCAATATGCCCTGTCTTCAAAAGAGGCATGGATACTCCCTCTCCCCTTCTCTCGTAAGCCCCTCCCCTTTGGCCCTCAGCCCTGCCACTCTGTGGAGATGACTCTTGTGGCCACAGATCCCTTCCACGTGGCCTCCCAGTGGCTCGTGACGCACCTGGGCGCCCTTCTCAGTCAGGTAACTCTTAAGCTCGTCCCAGCAGCCCTCCTAGCCTTGAGAGACCCCATCACGTCTTCTCCCTGCCCCTCAGACTCTCCAGCACCACTGCAGTCTCCGTCAACACTGAAAACCGCAGAGGACACACCATCTCAGTGTGAGGGTGCTGAGGGGACTCCCTGAGACTTTCAGGCTTGAGAGGAACAGGAACAAGTTGGTCGCTCTATAGATGGCACTTAAATGATGCATTATAAAGAAGAATACTGTCTACTACACTTATAGAAAATTCAATTTTACATGCTAGTAATTTCTCTCAAACTCAACCACTGACTGTGGAAAACACATGCAGCAGTGTGATTCTAGTTCCACAGACACCCACCCTGCCCCCCAAAAGAGCACAGGTTTATTCCTATTATCATTATTTTTAGACAGGGTCTCACTCTGTTGCCTAGGCTGTAAGTGGTGCAAATATAACTCATTGCAGCCTTGGGCTCCTGGGTACAAGCCATCCTCCTGCCCCAGCCTCCTGAGTAGCTGGGATTACAGGTGCTCACCACCATGTCTGGCTAAGTTTTTTTTTAAAGTTTTAGTAGAGATGAGTCTCACTATGTTGCCCAGGCTGGTCTTAAACTTCTGAAATCAAGTGATCCTGCTGTCTCAGCCTCCCAAAGTGCTGTGATTACAGGATTGAGTCACTGTGGCCAAGAGTATGATTTTAGAACCAGAAAAGGACTTAATATGTAAATTCTGAAAGTTCTGGAGATGGATGGTAGTGATGATTGCACAACAATGTGAGAGCACCCCATGCCACCGCAGTGTGCACTTAAAATGCTAAGATTTACACTCTGCGTATTTCACCCCAATAATTTAAAAAGAGAAAAAACCATCCCATCCCGTCATTCTCCTGGGAGAGGCCTTCACCAGGCCGTGTGTGGAGGCGCAGGCCTGTACTGGCCTCGAGGTCCCAGCACACCATGGCCCCTAGCACCCTGCAGCAGGGACCCACTGCCTGGGTCTTTCTCCCTTGTCTGCTCCTCCCGGGAGCCCCAGCTCCATGAGGGCGGGACTTTGCTTTGCTGCCTGTTGTATTTCCACAGCCAGATGGTGCCTGGCACAGAGAGGCCTCCATAAACACTGAGCCAATGAGCAGGAGCTGCAGGCTCTCAGGACAGCTGTGTGGAGGCTGTGCAGCCCGTCAGCACAGGCGACCCCGGGACAGACAGTGCTGTGCAGCCCGTCAGCACAGGCGACCCCGGGACAGACAGTGCTGCGAACAACAGCTCCTGGACGGCTGCTACCTCAGAGGCCACTGCCACCAGGTCCTAGGCTGTGGTGAGGGAGGTGGGAGGCAGGCGCCTGGCAACGGGCTTAGTATGTGCTAGCTCATGGCTGGAGGAAAGCCCTTCAGTTTGTGACATCCGTGTCTTTTGTTTGTGTACTAATCACAATGAGTGTGTGCTGAGCCACTGAGGGTCACTGAGCACACAAAAGTCGTCCACACCACGATGCGGACCTGAGCCAGAGGCTCACCCCCCATCCCAAGGTCTGCCTGCCTCCTTCTGCCTCGTGTCTTTTTCTGATTGTGACTCTGACGTTCCAACATTTGGTGGAAATGTCACTGTGACTTTTCGCCATAGGAAGTTCAGCATCTATTCAGCCACATTTGATCTTTTTTCCCCCATTTGTACCCATTTCTTCTTTTAAAAATCTGTGGTAAGAACACTTGACATGAGCTCTGCCCTCTGAGCAGCTCTGGGTGAGCTGTGCAGCCGAGTGGGCTGCAGGCCTGAGGTGCCAGCAGGCCCCAGATCTCATCCACCTGGCATGGCTGAAACCTCAGGTCTGCGGAACGGAAACTCCCTGTGTTCTGCCGCCTCTTATTTCTTCTTTTAAAGGAAATTTTCTATCAGCTGAAGGAAACTTCATCATAAAATTAGTGTTACGAAGCTAATTCATATCCCAGAAGCAGGGAGGTTGAAGAGGAACACATTTATATTCAACCAAATATTTGTTCCCAGTACACATAACACCCCCATAGGCTTAAAGAGTAAGGGTTCATGGAAACAGAATGTTTACCTGGAACCTTCCCTTTTTAATGCGCTGAAGCAGACCTTTATAGTCAAGCTGATTTTTCTCCTTTGTCTCTGAAGGTGGCTGGAGAGCTGTGGAGGAGAGCAGCTCTGTGCCCACAGCCCCTGGTCCCTGCCTAAACCTATGCAGCAGCTCACATCAATTCTGACAGAGGATGGAGGGGCAGCAGGAGTATCTGCCACCCAATTCCACCTCTCCATGGAGGGCTTCTGTCATCTACCCCAAAACTAACCTAAAAAAACAGAAGGAATCAAGACGCTCATTTGCATAATTCCATGAAAAATAAGTCAAGTATGATGTGATCTATACAGCAAAATACATTGCAGCTAAAAGCACACAGGTGAAAGACGTGTTTACTTCCAACCTGAACTTCAGCCTGAATGTCTTTCAGTGCTGCCAGCTGCCCTTGTAAAGCTTTAATTTCTTCTTTCTTTTGTTTTTCTGCTTCTTCTGTAGCCGCTTTTCTCCGTGCCTGGTGAGAAAATTATTTTTCCATTAGAATAGCTTGTTAGGGTAATCTCAGAAACAGGGAGACAAACTATGGCATATCAACTATATTTCTTATAAATTATAATATTCACTAAGACGAATAACAAGTTAGAAGCAAATCTTTTCCATTGATTTCGTCGGTGTTTATTGATAGATAAACCCGCCATGTTCTCACGGCTATCATTATTCCGTTTGCAGCCTGGGAACCTGAGGTTCTCACTGGCAGAAAGTGGAGGAGCCAGGATCCGAATGCAGGAACCTGTTCTTAGCCAGTACGCCTGAGCTTCCCATACACATGGCTCCTTCAAATTATGTATTTACTTATTTATGTACCAAGTAACTTCTTCAATATAGGATGAGGTCTTAACTTCACCACAGTTAACTCACCCTCATCTCAGCATCTGTAGGTCTGCCATCTATTTTAGCAAATCCCTCAAAAATTGTTTTGTAGAGAATGTTCTTGCGTGTGTTGCTGTCATCCGGAGGAAGGTACTCCAGAATGGAAGCCTGGTGCTGTCTGTACATGTCCAGAATAATTCTAACTGCCGTCTCGCGGACCTCATACACTCTATGCTCCAGGGAACTCACTGAAAACTAAAGTTGGGAGGGGCTCTTGTTACTGATTCTGAAAATAAAATTAATTTCTTTTAGCATACAAAAAAGGTACATTATAAACATTTGAAAAATAAAGAAAAGAGAAAACATCCATATTAAGTATTATGAGGTACTTCAAACCTAAAACCTCACGGATCTACCGTCTCGGTGTAAGCTGTGTTATACTTTCATTACGCTTGTTTTGGATCTTTGTAAGAAACAGAACGCTGTGGCTATAGTGTAATTCCATCCCCACCGTGCGTCTCCGGGGCCCATGGTTTCTCATCCTCCTTGGAGGTGTGCGCTTCTGTGTAGCCGATGTGCAGTTTCAGGTTTTGGGATTTGCGATCCAAACCAGTAAATGTAATGGAAGTATTCCAGAGTCCGAAAACAATCTGAAATCCTAAACACTTATGGTCTTAAGCATTTCAGATCAGGGGCTTCAACCTGTGCCTGATATTCTCCATTACGCTGCTGTTATTGTCTCTTAAAGACAAAGACATGTTTTTTATGATTTGTTTCTTTCCATGGATAAAGATCTGTACACACCATGTACCATTAGACAGCAGGACGCGTGTGGGGGCCCCCATTTGTTGGATGAAATACTGGCTGTTTTTCTGAAATCAGTCTCACTCATTCCTTCAACAAACGTTGATGAGACCCTTGCCATGCTCCAGGCACTGTGGTGAGTGCCAGGCCAGGTGGTGTGTCACACGCGAGGTCCACTTACCTTCATCACGTTGTCAATGGTGAAGCCCGAGCTCCCAGTGCCCAGGTCTTTCAGCAGCCGGGCAAGGAGGCCCATCTGACTCATTGCCAGGTGAACTGAAGAGTTTGTTTTCAATGGCTGCACCAGGTAGGATGGAATAATTTGGAGAGACTTAACTTCTTTAAACAAGGCCATTTCCTAAGAAAGCCAACGTAATTTGTTAATTTTTACTGGAAAATGCTGGAGGCAGTTTAGTACAATGCAGCATGATCTTAAACTAAACATTGAAGGAAAAAATAGGGAAATACAGAATGATAGTGACAAAGAGCAATAAGAGCACCGATCTGTAAGCTTGTATTTCTATTTAAAACATAACAACGATTAGAAATGAAAACCTGAGTCACAGGAAATAAAACCATGAAGAATAAAACAATTTTATGTGTAATGAAAGCTCTTCAGAAGCGTAATTGAAAACTTGAAGGTTTCTGTTCTCAGTACTCTTCAGCTTCAAGGAAGAGGTTTTCTCATTTCTAAAATTCTAAAAGAAATTATAGTTGTTGCTAGAATCATTGTTATTTTAGTATTTATTAAATGTCAGCCAAGAGTGTATGATTCTGCAGTGATATGGTTACTAGTGGATTAAGATGGAAAAAAATGTAAGTACCATTACATATTTTAATGTCCCTAAACAAACAAGTCTTTATGTAATTAAGATATTTATCACTTTATTAACCAGATACAGAGAAAAAAATAAGATGTTGAAGCGTTAAGTTGCAATCAGAAATAAACCTGTTTCCAATAGGTCTGTAGGTCCTGTCATCTAAAATAATCTCTCATCTTGCTGGCCCAATTCACTCTGTATTTGGGCCTGTGAGTGACTCTGTATAAATCTAAAAGCTAAGAGAAGAAGAGCATTCTCCAGGGAAGTCTGGACAGTAAACTCCTTAATGACAAACAGATGCTGGGAGTGTGTATTTGGTCTGCTAACCAGCACACTGGTGCACAATAATTGTAACCCTCAACAGATTGCCTTAAGGTTATCTGAAATAGAACATTTTAGCACCACCAAACTGCTCAGAAATTAATGCGGCTTAAAAACAATTAAATGAAGCAATAACATGTGCTCATCTGCAACATATCTTTTGAAAGATGAGCCTCCCCACCCCCAAATTCTAGCTGTCTTAACCAGGAGTGTATTGTAGCACATGAGCATGACAGCATTTATTCTTACTTTTTATTAGCATTTGTTTTCCTCATTTACTCTGAAAATTTAGGTTTATTAAATGAAACTAGATCTGTGTTTACTCATATTTTAGAGAAATGACCCCTTTGGATTCTTTTGAGACACAGTCTTGCTCTGTCACCAAGGCTAGAGTGCAGTGGCGAGATCACAGCTCACTGTAGCCTCAACCACCTGGGCTCAAGCCTCTCACCTCGGCCCTCTGAGTAGATGGGACGACAGGGCTGCATCACCATACCCGGCTAATTTTTGTGTTTTTTGCAGAGACAGAGTCTCACTATGTTTGCCAGGCTGGTCTCAAACTCCTGGGCCCAATTCATCTGCCCACCTTGGTCTCCCAAAGTGCTGGGATTATGGGCATGAGCCACCCTGCCTGGCCTGGATTCTTTTTTTTTTTTTTTTTGAGATGAAGTCTTGCTCTGTCGCCCAGGCTGGAGTGCAGTGGTGTGATCTTGGCTCACTGCAAACTCCACCTTCCGGGTTCGAGCAATTCTCCTGCCTCAGCCTCCCAAGTAGCTGGGACAACAGGCATGTGCCACCACACCCGGCTAATTTTTGTATTCTTAGTAGAGAAGGGGTTTCACCAGGTTGGCTAGGATAGTCTTGATCTCCTGACCTCGTGATCCACCCGCCTCAGCTTCCCAAAGTGCTGGGACTACAGGCATGAGCTCCCTCGCCCAGCCTGGCCTGGATTCTTTTTTAAGAAGGATCTGCACATCACAAAATTTTGTGTAAAACTTAATTCGTAAGCTTTCTTAAGCCCAAAGGGAGAGTCTTAAGAACTCCTAGACTAGATGAATTCATTAGCTAGTTTAAAGACAGCAAAACATATTTTCACATTATGGTATATAACTGTGTGCCCCCAAATTCATACATTTATCTCTATCTCAATATTTCCCATAATATCTAGCCTAGAGGAGGCACGTTTGGTGAAAGAATGAAAATATTTTGATTAAGACAGTTGTATCTTTTATTTCTTTACCCTCAGATTTTCTATTTTTATATCATTTTCCGCTTTTATTTATTTAAAAAATTAATGGCATATGTTGGATAAAAGAAATGTTGGAAAAACCCAACTGTAGATTTTAACTGAAGTTTATGTCTAAGACAAAACTGACCTTTTAGAGCATAAGTAAAGTGTGATGGCAAATCCCTGAGAATAATATTAACTGAGTAGAGACAGAATCTTGTAAGGTGTTAAGAAAGCCAGAGAGCTACACGAATATGTTTATCATCTATGGTTTCAAATGCTGTGGTGAAGTTCAGACCTGAATAAAATTTGCAGCTGTCACACGGAGGCGGGCAGAAGAATCTCCAGTTCTGGTGAGCAAAACGGGAATGGTCCTCTCCACACAGTGAGCTGTTTCAAGTTTACTCAGTTTATGTTTAGGAATATATTGTGTAATGATCATTTTCAACAATTTCAAAGAAGCCTGAAAGACCTAAGAGAAAAGGGATAAACACAGATGAGTTACTACAGTGGAATTCTACCAAGAGAAAACATAGAATCTACTATCAGTAATACATATGAACATTATATTGAAAATGACGTCTCGTCTGAAAGGCTGAAAATGGCAAACTAAAAACTGCTTTCTAAACACAGTACCTTGCATATAGAGGACATATGCTCTTATTTCACTCTGTCATAAATCACTCCCCATCTTCCCTTCATACCAAGTATCTAACAGCCCTGCTTCAACGGGTAAGCCCAAATCTTCCCTTCACACCAAGTATCTAACAGCCCTGCTTCAATGGGTAAGCCCAACTGTGCAATGTCCATTCTTAAGGCCCACTCAGCATTAGAAAAACACTAACTCTCAACCTCATCAGGTTTCATGCAAAGTGAGAACACAAACTGAAGATGTGGTAGCACTGAACCAGGCCTCCACAAACACCTGGCTTTGCAGAACATGTTGCTCGAGACCAGAGATAATGACCCAAGCAAAGGCAGATTTCCCAGACCCTTCATGTAAGATCAGTTGCACAATATAGCTCTTGCTAGAGAACCTCATTTCTTAGTGATTCTATCGAGTTACAGTTGGTGACCATGTCAATGACCAACTGGTCCTCTCTCAAGCTGCTCTGGTCTTCTGTGGTACGGCACATGATCTCATCCACGGATACTGGAGCCAGCACCAGCTGAGGGCACTCACGGAGGTCACAATGTCCTTTATGGCTCTTCTAATGAGAAAGATGGATGCTCTGAGTGTGTTCTTTAAGTCTTCTTTTGGGGTTCCAACAGGCATTTCCATCAACTTCTTATACAAGGCAAGCAGTGCATCCTCTCGGTAGGACCATGTCTTAGAATAGGCCCCAGCAACCTGCCACAAAACAGGCAGCATTTGCATGACATCACACAACCATCCTCCAATACTACACAACTTGAAGGCTTTGTTTTTTTTTTTTAAAGTAAGATGATTCATTTCTAATAACAGAACTTTCATAAACTGATTAATTTCTAGTAACAGAACTTTTACAAATAAATACGCATATTTAGAGAAATAATTTTTTCTGATAAGGAAATTTAAGACATTAAAATATAAAAAGTATTAAATGCTCCAAGGGAAATATATATATATTTTTTGAGACGGAGTCTTGCTCTGTGGCCCAGGGTGGAGTGCAGTGGTGCCATCTCAGCTCACTGCAAGCTCTGCCTCCCAGGTTCACACCATTCTCCTGCCTTAGCCTCCCGAGTAGCTGGGACTACAGGGGCCTGCCACCACGCCCAGCTAATTTTTGTATTTTAGTAGAGACGGGTTTCACCGTGTTAGCCAGGATGGTCTCAATCTCCCGACCTCATGATCCGCCCGCCTTGGCCTCCCAAAGTGCTGGGATTACAGGCGTGAGCCACTGCGCCTGGCCTCCAAGGGAAATATTTTAAAGTTCAGAATGAGGTGAAAATCCTACTCATTTCTCTTTTTTATTTTGAGACAGAGTCTCACTCTGTCGCCCAGGCTGGAGTGCAGTGGTGCGATCTCGGCTCACTGCAACCTCCGTCTTCCTGCGGGTTCAAGCAATTCTCCTGCCTCAGCCTCCTGAGTAGCTGGGATTATAGGCGCCTGCCACCATGCCTGGCCAATTTTTGTATTTTTAGTAGAGATGGGGTTTCACCATCTTGGCCAAACTGGTCTTGAACTCCTGACCTCATGATCCACCCGCCGCAGCCTCCCAAAGTGCCAGGATTATAGGTGTGAGCCACTAAGCCTGGCCAACACTACTCATTTCTATAAGGAGATACTTCCATCTTTTGCTATGCCATCATTTTGTGCTGGAATTAGCTGGTGTTCAGAAGACAGCAGGTGTTTAATACAAACTCCATGAATGCCAGAAGGACACCCAGGGTGAAATGAGTACTCATTGATACATCTTAGCTCATGTTTTTGCTGTTTCACATAATTCATAATTTACAGAAGGGCCAGGCACAGTGGCTAATGTGTAATCCCAGCACTTTCGGAGGCCAAGGCCAGGAGTTCAAGGCTACAGTGAGTTATGATCATGCCACTGTACTCCACCCTGGGTGACAGAGCGACACTGTTTCTTAAAAAAAAAAAAAAGTTAACAAAAGACTTTCCAATCCAGCGAGAACAAAGGGAAGTCAACAATATTACAAATGCAAAGCCCTGGGCATTTTCCCTTCTTCATGCGTAAGTACACAGAGGTGGGCATGCCATATAGCCTTCCCTCCCCTCTGTCCCCCACTGTTTTTTTTTTTTTTTACCAAGGTTTCTCCCAACACATCGATGGCAGAGCTGGCTTCTCTCAAGGCCTTCTCGGTTAAGGGCTCTGGCTCCCCTGACAAGCCTCCCCTCCGAGCATCGCTGATGTCTGCATCACTCATTTCCGGCTCCACCACTGCCTCCCCATGATGCTTACGAATAGCTGGAAGAGGCCGCTCATCATAGGGCAGGGACTCTGCCTGCAGTAAGCGAAGGAGAGAGGAAAGTGCTGGGGAGCTCCATGGGTCGCATTCTCCAAGGCACCTCTCACGGGCAGGCTCACTGTGCTTACTTACCTGATCTGCAAGATGTTATTTTGCTAAATATCAGTATCATCAGATTAGAATAATTTATACAACAAAGAAGATGTAATTGAAAAGATTAGATGAGGCTTTCTGTTCCTTTCTAAACTTATTACAGACCTAATAAAAGCAAGGTAGATTCCGCCTCGATGGAGACTACTAAAGTAAAGGCTATTACATCTTTTTTTCTGACAAGATCTCTGATATATCCTTAGTTTATTGCTTAGAAATAAGCATCAAGCCTGATTTTAACAAACATGCTCACGAGGTGTCATCAGGTCTATTGCTTATGTGGCTATGTTCTCACTCAGCACTATGGCTCCTAGAATGGAACAGAGGTGGGTCTGGCTGGGGTGCACTCATGCACTCCATGCACGGGAACAGCACCTGGCATAACACAGGTCCTCTACAAATATCCAAATAAAGTGAACGCCAATCTGAAACAGAATTACCTACATTGATCTTTGGATGAGGATCTGTGGCAGGGAGTAACTGGTCTACTGCAGAATGCTGAGGAGAAACAGTTAGAGAATATGATGAAGGCTTTTCCTGAAGGAAAGGTTCTGCAAACTGGTTTTCTGTTCCTCTTTCTTCCAGTTGTGGTAGTGAGGGCATTGGCTTTTGGTGGCGAGGACTGCCAGAACGAGCGAGGGGCCGGAGGGGCAAATCAAGAGGTCTTCGCATCTAGGGAACAAAAAGGGACATTTAATTTCAAATGCCACTGCCATGACAGACGTATCCATCTCATTCCTCCAGATGAATAAGACTTTAGAAAGCTGTGCTGGAAGAGGCTCCTTGGCACAAAGAAAAGTTTCAAAACCAAAGAGAAACTTCCACAGCGTGAAATCTCCTTGAAAGCCCCACACAATCAAGCTGCACTCATCTCAGTTGTCTCTCCACATTTCCGTGTGGACTACAAAAGTGACACACACACCCAAAATGCTAGTGAAGGAATGAACATTTGTGCATGGAGATGTCCACACATATGTGCCCCTGAAGGAGCACGGTGGTGTGGAGAAAGCACCTGGGCTGGACCCAAGTGGACTTCTATTCAGAATCTGGCACTGCTATTCACTGTGTGTACAAAGGAAAGTGATGTTGTGTAACCCAACAAGTAAAGCTGACTGCACAGTTGCTGCACACTGGGCATGGCACTGAATGTTTTGGACAGGCAGGCTCATTAATGCTTACTCTTTTTACTCCCACTTGAAAGCTGATGGAACACTGAGGCATAAAGCTGATGAGAATTAGTCTGTGATCACAGAGCTGGAATGGCGGTGCCCGGATTTGAACCCAGGCAATCCAGCTCCAGAGTGTGCTCTCTCTTTTTTTAGAGACAGGGTCTTGCTCTGTCACCAAGGCTGAAGTGCAGTGGCACGATCGTAGCTCACTGCAGCCTTGAACTTCTGGGCCCAGGTGATCCTCCGTTCTCACTCTCCTGAGTAGCTAGGACTACAGGTGTGTGCCACCAGGCCTGGCTATTATTTATTTTTTGTAGAGACAGGGTCTCTCTATGTGGCCCAGGCTGGTCTAACAATCCTCCTGGGCTCAAACAATCCTCCAGCCTTGGCCTCCCAAAGTGATGGGATTACAGGCATGAGCCACCATGCCTGACCTTGAGAGTGTGCACTCTCAACTACTATTCTGTATCTCAGGACCTTCGTTTCCTAATCTGTCATGTGGGCTGAATGCCCCATCTGCATGAGTTCTAAAATCAGAGGCAGAGCACCTTATGGGAAACATGTTCTCAATACACTGAAGCTGTTAGTACTTCACTCTCACTTGATCCTCACAACACCGAGGGGTCAGCGGGGCACGGTCATCACTGCCTTTTCCAAATAAGGAAGCAGTTGGAGAGATGAAGGGATGCAGCGGAAAAGCAGCAGGGCCTCGGTTTTCCTGACCCTGGCTCGTTCCCTTTCCCACGACTGTGAGCCTCCTGAAAGAACATGCAGAGGCAAAGCCTCCCTGACGTAGGCACAGAGCTGAGTCCATCTATGATAACTGTCCCCTGAGCACTGCAGAGTGTTTTACACTACACTTCAAAGGTATCTATCCACCTTTGTGAACCACACAGTTGACTCTCTGTTCTCCTAGGCTTTCCTCCACCCCGTCCAGGCTCCTGCACCCACCAGCTCGGCATCCAGGAGGCTGTGCAGCTCCAGCTGCTCGTACACCTCAGCGCGATACTGCTCCATCTGCTGCTTCTTCTCCTTGGCGAGATCATAGTCTTCCTTCTCCACGGCACAGCGTTTCTCCACCTCATACCTCCCAAGGCGCTCACCAACCTGAAGCACAAAATGTTTGCTTTTTGTTTCAAATTTGGATCAACTCACATCAAATGCAAAGCTAATTTTTAAGAGTCATGCTTGAACCATCTTGTGAGGAGAGGGAGCGAGCACAGGGAAAAGGAAGGAATGGGCCACACTCATAGCAAAGTTCTGGCTGCTGTTGCTGTACTGGCATCTAATAAGCCCATGGGTTCGTCATGACTTTCGGGATAGCTGGTTTTCCTATTTTCCCACTGTGTTCAGGGTCTTAGTAACGAGGCGGCTGACCCTGACACCTGAACATGAGTCTGAAGAGGTAAAGCTTCTGCTTCCATTTACATTTTTAAAGTGCTTATCTGTCTCCATAACTTTATTTTGCTGAGATCTCTGAACTCATACTAACTTCACAGCTTTTAGTAACCGGTTTCTTTTACCATGTAGTTATTCTAAGTATACATAAAACCTATTACAGGCATAAATTAGGAACTGTTTTCTCCAAAAGCCATACCTTTTGCAAATCAGCAATAGCTTGTTTTAGTTTCTTGGCATAATCATAGCATTCCTTTTGGACGGCTTCCCGTTTTCTTTCATCTAATTTTCGTATAATCTGTGCAACTTCTGGATCTTGGTACATATCAAAAGCTAAGTCATCTAGCGGAGAAATATAGTCAGATCTCCTAAGGGAAGAAATGTATATTTTAGAGATAATGTCAAGCCCTAGGAGTTCCGTGCTGAAGATGCACAGTTGAGAAAATGCCCCTCCCTACCGTGCCCCATCATGGTTCACAGAGCATTTCCTGCAGGAGAAAATGGGTCTCAGAGAAGTAACGGGCCTCAGGTCACAGAGCTCCTAATTGCAAGCAGGTCTTTCTGACTCCAAAGCTCATGCTCTTGACCATGAACCAAACTGCACTTCAGGGCATCTGAGCCTTCAGTGCATTTGCTCAGAGTGCAGACTTTGGGCCTCACCTCGTTGTGGGCCCTGGGAATAGGACGGTGAATGTGAATCAACTGCAGAACAAGGAGAAAAACAAAAATGAAACCAAAAACAAATGGATGACCAGGTCCCACCCTAAGAAATGTGACTAGCGGGCCCAAAATGGAGTCCAGGCACCGTATTTTATAACACCACAGTATTTTTTCTTTCTTTTCTTTTTTTTGGAGGCAGAGTCTCACTCTGTTGCTTAGGCTGGAGTGCAGTGGCGCAATCTCGGCTCACTGCAACCTCCACCTCCTGGGTTCAGGCGATTCTCCTGCTTCAGCCTCCTGAGTAGCTAGGATTACAGGTGTGTGCCACCACACCTGGCTAATTTTTGTATTTTTAGGAGAGACACATTTTCATCATGTTGGCCAGGCTGGTCTCAAACTCCTGACCTCAAGTGATCCACCAGTCTCAGCCTCCCAAAGTGCTGGGATTATAGGTGTAAGCCACTGCGCCCAGCCTGTATTTTTTTCTTTGAGACAGAGTCCTGTTCTGTTGACCAGGCTGGAGTGCAGTGGCATGATCTTGGGCTCACTGCAACCTCTGCCTCCTGGGTTCAATCTATTCTCATGCCCCAGCCTCCCAAATAGCTGGGACTACAGGCGTGTGCCACCACGCCTGGCTAATTTTTTGTATTTTTAATAGAGATGGAGTTTCGCCATGTTAGCCAGGTTGGTCTTAAACTCCTGACATCAGGTGATCCACCCATCTCGGACTCCCAAAGTGCTGAGATTACAGGTGTGAGCCACTGTACCCAGCCAACATCACAGTATTTTTGATGAACATGATAGGTTAAGAATTGCTACCACTGAGGTTTTACTCAAAGGGTTAAGTTGTATGGTGTCCACCACTATGTCCTAGAGGAGATCAGAAACATTCCTTCAGCAATAAGCGATCTTTTGTAGCCACCTGAATAACTCATTTCTGATTAAATATGACCTCTATTCCTCCTTTTGAGCTCTAGGTAGGGTCTAGAATGTAAACAATAAAGCTAGTCTCACCAAGCAACAAAACCTTACTAGAGGACGAGGATTGAAGTGTCCCAGCTGCTGTATCAAACCCATTAAACAAGCCAGCTGCTTACGGTGACTTGAACATCCTTCGAGACAGGTACGTTTTAAGGAAAACATTTGTCATAAAAGTGTAGTTGGTGAATCTATATTATAATGAATTCAAGTGGGGTATGGGAATAGGCCCCCTTTAAGTACTCACAGCCCCCGCTGGCATCTCCCCACCCTTGAGGTCACGGTATTTTGCTCACAGCAGCACCACAGGCTGGTGGCTGGGACGGCACCAGCAGCTCTGAACTGTATCTGATCCCAGGGATGACTAAACGGCGAAACATTTTGGGGTGTCTACAAGATCACATTAACTATTTTTAGTGTAACACATATGACACTCTAAGTCACGTTGCCTTGCTGTCCCAGAGATGAACACAAAGACTTCATTTGATTGTAAAAATCCTTCAAAGCAAACATCATGTCCTGTGGCACCCAGTCCCAGCTCCTGTTGATTCAGCAGCAGCGTGGGGTGCCGTCTACCCACTTCGGTAGAGAACCCCCAGTGGCAATGACCGGATTCCACGTCCGGCACGGGCCCGCACATGCCAGTTACACAGCTTTTCCCAGCCCTTGCACTTAGCCTTCATAAAACCCCGGGCGTGGGGCAGGACAGGCAAACCACAGCCTGCCATCCCACCCGGCTAATTGGATTAAGGCAACAGATTTAAAGTCTAAATCAAAATGACAGAAAGCAGCTTTATTGGAGATACTGAGACACTAAAGACTTAATCAGTTTGGTTGTTCCTGCCCTGCTGCACTTGCTTCAGTAAGGGCAGAGTCCCAGCCGCGGTCCTTGTGGCGAGGCTGGCAGGAGGAAGGCAGCCATCCACTCTCAGCGCTCATTCCCCACAGTGCTTCCAATCCCCAGCTTGAAGGATGGGAAGAGTACTGTGATTTTTCTATTAGGCAAAGGAGGCATCTGAGGGAGAGACTGAGAGGCTGCTGTTATTTTTTTTATAGACATTATATGAATAGCCTCTACTCTCTAAGCACTCCACACTCACAAGTGTCTGTGACAGCTCTGGTCTGCACCAGGCCTGTGGGGAAGTGGGGCAGCCTCTGCAGGAGGGAAGGCTCGCTGTCCACCAGTGCACACTCAGCAAATCGCACGTGGCTCCTGAGCAACTGCAGAGAAAATCTGATCCACATTGTGTACAAATAGAAGAGCCTGGATCAAGAATTAAATCACTTTATGCGAGCAGTCTGTATGAGGGTAAAAGTGAAATTACACCAAACGTTGCGGACAAATTTGAAATTTCTATTAAAGTTTAAAAAGTTGATCTTTATTGGGAAGCTGCTGTCAGAGAAGAACCAAGGATTATTTGGGATTCCTCTTTATTTTTAAAAAACTTTTTTTTTTTTTTTTTTTTTGAGATGGAGTCTTGCTCTGTCCCCCAGGCTGTAGTACAGTGGCATGACCTTGGCTCACTGCAACCTCCATCTCTCAGGTTCAAGGGATTCTCCTGCCTCAGCCTCCGGAGTAGCTGGGACTACAGGTGTGCACCACCATACTCAGCCAATTTTCGTGTTTTTAGTAGAGAAGGAGTTTTACCATGTTGGCCGGGCTGGTCTTGAATTCCTGACCTCAAGTGATCCGCCCACCTTGGCCTCCCAAAGTGCTGGGATTACAGGTGTGCACCACCATGCCTGGCCTAAAAAACATTTCAATTCCTCTTTTGTCTCATTGCGGCAACTATGCCAGCCCTTCCCTTCTTTTCTTTAGACCAGGCACCTCTGGAATGGAGTCCCCTCGTTGTCATCCACAGCAGGTAGGTGGCAAGGGAGCCACCGTCCCAAAGAGGTGCCCAGGACAGACAGGGTGACCGAGGATGGCGCAGTGGGGCCCTTTAGCTCTCCAAAGGTAGATTCACCCCCGGTCCTTACACTGCTAAAAAAAGGGAGAAGCGGCAACAGCAGCAGAAAAATATGTATACTTTTTTTTTTTTTTTTTTTGAGACAGGGTTTCACTGTCACCCAGGCTGATATACAGTGGCATGATTTCGGCTCAAGCAATCTTCCTGCCTCAGTTTCCTGAGTAGTTGAGACTACAAGCACGTGCCACCAGGCCCAGCTAATTTTTGTATTTTTAGTAGACATGGGGTTTTGCCATGTTACCCAGGCTGGTTTCAAACCCCTGATCTCAAGCAGTCCTCCTGCCTTGACCTCCCAAAGTAGTAAGATTACAGGCGTTAGCCACCACACCCAGCCTACAATTGTTAACATGAAGAACTTTCCCCGTATCCTTTTTTCTTTTTTTTCTTTTTAGCTAAACTTAGCAGTGAGAAAAAATATTTTTAATGGGTACAGAGGGATTGGTAAAAATTGTGTTGTTTTTTTACATTGGTAAAAACCTATGTGATACATAGTTTTCACTCCTCTAAACTTTTGAAGAGGCCGTAAGGTGATGTCTGTAGAACTGATAACCTAGGTCAATTAATATCTTTGATTTTTACCATGAATTTGCTTGTGCTAATAAAATATCAAAGGATGGCTGACAGATCTTTGTTTAAATGCATTTTAGGAAACTTCTAGTAATATCTGAATACAAGAAAGGAAGTAGTCTCTGCTGGGGAGTAAATGAAGGTGTGTGGCTGGGTGCGGTGGCTAAAGTCTGTAATCCCAGCACTTTGGGAGGCTGAGGCGGGTGGATCACCTGAGGTCAGGCGTTCGAGAGCAGCCTGGCCAACATGATGAAACCCCATCTCTGCTAAAAATACAAAAAATTAGCCTGGGTATGGTAGCGGGCACCTGTAATCCCAGCCACTCGGGAGACTGAGGCAGGAGAAGTGCTTGAACCCAGGAGGTAGAAGTTACAGTGAGCCGAGATGGTGCCATTGCACTCCAGCCTGGGTAACAAGAGTGAAATTCTGTCTCAAGAGAGAAAAAAAAAAAAAAGGGAAAAAATAAATGAAGGTGTGCTAAACAAAACAGTGACCTTAATCTTTATGTAATTTTCAGACAATCCAATCAGTGGCTTATCCAGCTCTAAACTGAATTTAGAGGCTCCAAGTCCATAATCCTTTGGAAATGACGGACCCTTTCACGATTCTGAGGAAAGTAACAGAAGTTCATTGCTGGGGAGCAGGACTCTTACCTGGTGTAAGTTCCTTCTAGAGCAGGGTCCTCGCTGTTGTGCCCAAGGTAGTGGTCAATCAACTTCTCTCGAGAGGCCTTTGGGAGCAAAACAGCTGCTTAGTGTCTCAGAGAGAAAGAGGAACAGCACAAAACCTTAACTACAAGACTTATTTCATATAAAGCTGTCAACAAGGTTCAGTGATCCTCCTCTTTCGGAGGGACAGCTAAAACTGTTAAATAAAAGTTTAATATGCTATAGCTCCTAAAAATCATTTGAAAGTTATTCACTAGTCAATTTTATGCAGATTATAAAAATGATACTTTTTTTTGGGTGAAAATAAACGACCCCCTCCAGTTAGAAATACATTTACTTCCTTAGGAATTAAAACTTTCCAAACTTACAGTATTGCTTTCATCACTGAAATCTGCAGGGTCTCCAATGATATTTATGGCAACCAAAGCAACCTAAGAAAGTGTTAAATTAACAGAAATTAAATATACAATGTTTGAAATGACTTAACCCCTTTATTTACATACTTTGAGACAGGGTCTCGTCTGTCACCCAGGCTGGAGTGCAGTGGTGTGATCATTGCTTACTGCAGCCTGGACCTCCCGGGCTCAAGTGATTCCCCCACCTTAGCCACCCAAGTAACTGGGACTATAGGTGTGAACCACTATGCCCTGCTAATTTTTGTGTTTGTTTACAGAGATAGGATTTCACCATGTTGCCCAGGCTGGACTTAACTCCTTTATAACAAACTGACCTATACTGTTATCAAATGGGATGATGTATATCAAAGTGTATTAATTGTTAAAATGTTATGCTAATGTAAAGAATTTTTAATAATTAACAAAGAATTTTAAATAAATTATGTAAGTTAGTATTCTAATGCTTAACCAAATGGTTATTTTAACCATTTAAAGGATGTTCTAGCTGGGGGCGGTGGCTCACGCCTGTAATCCCACCACTTTGGGAGGCCGAGACAGCAGGGTCACCTGAGGTCGGGAGTTCGAGACCAGCCTGGCCAACACGGAGAAACCCCGTATCTACTAAAAATACCAAATTAGCTGGGTGTGGTGGTGCATGCCTGTAATCCCAGCTACTCGGGAGGCTGAGGCAGGAGAATCGTTTGAACCCGGGAGGCAGAAGTTGCAGTGAACCGAGATTGCGCCATTGCACTCCAGCCTGGGCAACAAGAGCGAAACTCCGTCTCAAAAAAAAAAAAAAAGAAAAAAAAAAGAGAAAAAAAAGACATCCACTTGAGATTCAGTATGGAGCTCATCTTTGAAGGATCTTGGGAACTTAGATGATGAAAAGTTAACACAGCTCAGAATATCCAAGTCGGTAAGTCTCACCTGAGGTGGGGAGTCACTTTTCCATCCTGCACCCCCAACCACTGTAGACCAACTACTTAGCCAGGTCATTGCTGGTCAACACATGCAGGTGGGGAGAGGAAGGAAGAGGGTTAACAATCATTCTTCTGGCTTCCTGGCGTGTCATGCGGAAGGCGCCAGGCAGCTTAACTGGACCTTTGCTCTCTGGTCCAGCTCACCCGCTTTGGTCTAGAGATTTGATTTGCTGGGTGCTCGCATTCCTCTTGGAAGGGGCAGGGAGAGTTGTAAATACTTGTGCTAATTAACAAGATTGCTTTGGACACAACTGATTTCTACTACACTAATCATGTGAGAAAAAGAAAGAAAAGGAAAGAAAGGGAGGGAGGAAGAGATGAAGAATCAGCGGATTGGAGCTGGAGAGATTCTGGATTACACGCAACATTCATGTGTCCGCAATTTTTACTAGGGGCTTTACCTCGTGCACGTTGGGAGGGTTTATTTAGAACTGTGCTGTCCTACACAAATAGGATGTGAGCCACATGTGTTATTAAGGTTAAGTAGGCACATTAAAAAATTAAAAAATGCGATTAACTTTAATAATATAGGTTAACACAACATATCCAAAATATTATCATTTCATCACATACAATTGACATAAAAGTTCTCATGAACTGTTTTGCATTCTCCTTTTGTACTGAGTCTCTGAAGCCCACTGTCTGGTGATGCTGGCAGCAGCTCTGGGCACTAGGCCAGTTCGTGGTAGGCACTGGCCACGTGTGCCCAGAGGCTGCTGGATCAGACAGCACAGCTCAGAGAGCTCAGCAGTCTCCCAGAAGAGATCCTCTCTTGTAAGATCATCTTGAAAATGCATCTAAGAAAAGATATGTGACCACATAATCCCACAAAGAAGGTAGGGGCAGGATCGAAGGCGAAGCTGCATGCATCTTACCTGATTATATATGTTGTATTTGTTGGCATGGTTTTGGTGAAAAATCAGTTTAAGAAATTGTCCTACTGCATCCACATAAACTGATTTTAGTTCCCGGGCTTTGCAACCTGTCTTTTCATTATCACAGAGAGACACGTAGCTGAAAAACAAAACACAACTGAAGAATACGCTGATTTGGCCGGGCACGGTGGCTCACGCCTGTAATCCCAGCACTTTGGGAGGCCGAGGCGGGCGGATCACAAGGTCAGGAGATCGAGACCACGGTGAAACCCCGTCTCTACTAAAAATACAAAAAATTAGCCGGGCGTGGTTGTGGGCGCCTGTAGTCCCAGCTACTCGGGAGGCTGAGGCAGGAGAATGGCGTGAACCCGGGAGGCGGAGCTTGCAGTGAGCCGAGATCGCGCCACTGCACTCCAGCCTGGGTTGGGCGACAGAGCGAGACTCCGTCTCAAAAAAAAAAAAAAAAAAAAAAGAATACGCTGATTTGAAAATGTGCTGTTCAGTAAAACTGCCCCCTGCTCTGATTGAACTCAAGAGGCTTATTTATTTTTATTGTTTTATTTTTTAAAGCTAGACTACCCCTACGCAGGATCAATAGGTTTGAATAAAAGCTAAGTCTAGAATGAAAAACCTAGGAAAACCCCCTAGAACTCAAATTCTAATTAGTGTTCTTGTTTTTTTTTTTGAGACGGAGTCTTGTTCTGTCACCTAGGCTGGAGCGCAGTGGCGCGATCTTGGCTCATTCCAACCTCTGCCTTCCGGGTTCAAGCAATTCTCCTGCCTCAGCCTCCCAAGTAGCTGGGATTACAGGCACTCGCCACCACGCCCGGCTAATTTTTGTATTTTTAGCAGAGACACAGTTCACCATGTTGGCCAGATTGGTCATCTAATTAGTATTCTTAAGAAAATTTCTACATCTGAAAAGTAGAGTTGAACAGAAGAATTCATAGAAATCATAACGCTGCTTTTTAAGCATGTTCAATAAGAGGCAGGTGTTAAGAAATTATGTACTCTTGAACCAAATAGAAGTATATAACATAGGACCAAAAGTTAAGGGACAATTCATCTTTAAGAGCTTTCAGGGCCTGGCGCGGGGGCTCACGCCTATAATCCCAGCAATTTGGGAGACCAAGGCGGGAGGATCATAAGGTCAGATCAAGACCATCCTGGCTAACACAGTGAAACCCTGTCTCAACTAGAAACACAAAAAATTAGCCGGGCATGGTGGCGGGCGCCTGTAGTCCCAGCCACTCCAGAGGCTGAGGCAGGAGAATGTTGTGAATCCTGGAGGCGGAGGTTGCAGTGCATCAAGATTGTACCACTGCACTCTAGCCTGGGCGACAGAGTGAGACTCCATCTCAAAAAAAAAAAAAAAAGAGCTTTCAGGTAGAATTAGTCTAAAAGCCGCCACTATACATTTATATTTCATTCTTACCCAAGTCTTCGAAATCGCTCTGCTTGATAGGGTGCAAAATATTCAGGTAAGCTTTCACTAATGTAGAACTCAATTTTACTTGAAATCATATACTGGTGAGCAAGTAACTGTAGTTTCCTTATTCGACATCTCTCCACCATTTGAAGGACAATTTCTTGTGGAAATTGGCAAAATCTGAAAGCAAACACATTTTTATTTTTTCTGAACAATTCCTCCAGAGGGTTTCTAGATGCTAGCATCTCATTCTTGCAGGTAAGAAGCATTAACCACACACCCACTTTGAACTGGACAGTCTGTAGGTAGTGATGGTACAAAGTTGCCTGCGACATGATTCCCGTTCTCTCGAGCTTGTCATGTTGGAGCTGAAGCTTGGGATTAAAAATTTGACTTGAGCTGCCTGTAACCCTATAGGAATCATACTCTTGGTAGCTAGTAAATGGTCTGATATGAAACCTGAAGTTTTTCAAAAGATAAATCAATCTTACGAGGTGGCACTAGTGGGCAGGATGGAGCCAAAGGATCTTCCACGGGAACTCAAATGCTTAAGGGCCCCAAGGTTTCAATACTGAAGGAGTGCCTGCCATTCACGCATAGTGGTCTAGGGAGAGAAGCCTATGGTATGGCCCGTGCTGGAGCTTCTAACTTTGCTCAAAAGTGACATAACTTTTTTTTTTTTTTTTAGACAAGGTCTCGCTCTGTCCCCCAGGCTGCAGTGGTGTGATTATGGCTCACTGCATCTTTGATCTCCTGGGCTCAAGTGACCCTCCTACCTCAGCCTCCTGAGGAGCTGGGACCACAGGCATGTGCCACTGTGCCTGGCTAAAACTTTGACCAGGCTGGTCTTGAACTCCTGGGCTCAGGGGATCCTCTCCCCTCGGCCTCCCAAAGTGCTATGATTACAGGTGTGAGCCCCTGTGGCCAGCCCAGAAGTGACATAACATATTAAAAAACTAAGAATTGGGTAGAGAATCACAGCAGTCAGCAAAGACCCTACATTGCTTCCAAAAATGCAAAGGCTCAAGAGAGGCACATTTGGGGCAGGAGGGCAGCTGGCACAAACTGGGAAACCGAGCAACTTTGAAATGAAATTCTTTAGTCTTTCATGTCAGTAAAGTGCTGCTTTAGATAGTTAAATGCAGGGCACATAAATTATCATTTGTGGTGAGATTATCTGAACATAAGGACAATAAGTAATCTATTATTTAAAAATCTTTATTAAAAAAAAAACAAAACTCCAAAACTATTTAAAGAGAAGCAAGACAACCAGCAAAGCTTTGAAGTATACAGTCATGCACTGCGTGAGACAGTGGTCCCATAAGATGACAACACTGTATTTTGACTTAGCTTTTCTATTTTTAGATATACAGATACCTACTGTGTTATACTCGCTACCGTGTTCAGCTCAGTCACGTGCTGTACAGGTTTGCAGCCCGGGAGCAATAGGCTATGCCACAGAGCCTAGGTATGTAGAGTAGGCTGTACTACCTGGGTTTCAGGGCACTCCAGGTGTTTGATGAAATCGACTGATGATACATTTCTCAGAATGTCCCCATGATTGAGTGATGTAGGATTGTACTTTTAAAAATCCTTCCAAAATGGGCCTATGATTTAGCTACTCAAATGCAGCTGATCAACAGTTTATAGACGAATCAAAAATACCTTTCAAGAAACCTCACAGTTAAAAAGGCTAGTATATATTTGTCCTTTCAAGATAAATTGACAGATACAGATTTTTAAAAATAAAAATAATTTGACAACCAAAAAAATGGAGGCCCAGAGGCTACGGTTGGTGCAAACTTTATGCTTTCTTGGAAAAATGTCTTGCTCTGAAGGGTTTAGGCTCTCTGAATTCTGAGGTCACACGATTGGCACTGGGGGTCTCCCTGGATCTCTTTAACCTCACTTCAGTGTCTCTCCTGGAGCTGCATCAATCTATGCCCTGAGCTCTGATGTAGAGGGTCCCACATTCTCTCTGACCTGTGGTAACAGGGCGCCTTGTCCTGCCGTTGGGAGGCTAGGCTTCAGGGTATCCTCCTTTGTCTTTCTGCGATATGCCTGACCTCAGGGAAGTCAAGAGACCCCGAGCCAAACCCAGTGGGAGTCTGTGGTGACCAAGGGCACATGGATCCTTTTCTTAGGTACGTCCTCTGAAAGCGTGTTACTGAAGTGAGTGTAGGTTATGCCCTTTAAAGCAATACCATGTCAACGCACAAGAGAACCATATGGGTGTGATTTCTATTACCAAAAACCGTGGCTGGGCGTACACTCGAGAACCTTCAATCCCCATATAAACACGGAACAAGTACAGTGAGCGTACAGGACCTCTGCAGAGGGGATGCTGCTGCCTGGGAGAGGCATGAGCAGGCTCACGGGGAGTCTGGGAGGAGAGCGCGGAGCGCTGGGCTGCCCCCGTGGGTGTGCTCCTCCTCCTGCCCTCCAGCCATAGGTTGGACCCTGTTAATGCTGCCTGCACGGGCAGTGCATCGGCCCCGGCCAGGGCAGTATCAGGATGCTGGCTCGCCTGCAATCCCAGCTCCACGGGTGACAAAGGTGCTGTCGAGCCCTTTCTGCTTGACTCTTGCTTCATTTCTGTTCATTCAGAACTCACTTCCGGGAAATGCAGGGACAGGGGGTCTTATTTGTTGCGTCTCCTCAAAAACCCCAAAAGGAAAATATGTTTTAATTTTAAATGAGATTTACATTCAATTTTCAGCAACATGTCTTCTGAATAAAAGCAAGACACAATTACATCATTGAATTTAAAATGCCATACATATTTACGCATTCATGAGTTAGGAATAAATAGTAACTTCTCAGGCTTGAAAGCAAGTCATGAAGAGCACAGAGCTGACGAGGTGGGATGGGTGGAAGTGGATTTTTAATCACATGACTGAGGGCGGAGGGCAGATGCCAAGTGAGTGCATGAAGGGGCTCAGCTGTAAAGACCAAAGCAGCAGAGGCAAAAAGACTTAAATGTTTTAGGAAAATAATCAAGCAAAACACTCATCTAATGAACATTTTTTCTGAGACAGAGTCTTACTGGGTCGCTCAGGCTGGGGTGCAGTGACTGTTATAGCTCATGGCAGCCTTGGACTTCTGGGCTCAAGGGATCCTCCTATCTCAGCGTCCTGAGTAGCTGGGGCTACAGGCAGGAGCCACTGTGCCCAACTGAACATTTTAACAAAAGTATACGCGTGTTTAAGAGAAATGTGAAAGACACAATCTTTTGTGTATAAAAGCATATACAAGCAGTTATTTTGGTTAAAGCTTGGTGTCACATAAAAGCAGTTATTTTGGTTAAAGCTTGGCGTCATATAAAAGCAGTTATTTTGGTTAAAGCTTGGTGTCATATAAAAGCAGTTAGCCACACACTCTTTCATCACAGGAGCCCAACTGTAAAAGCAAACAAAGCTGCACGTGCCATCTCTGCACAGAAACTTGATGAGAATGTGCAGCCCAGCGTGTGATCAGGGAATACGGTTAGACAATTACAGGGCCTCATTTCTCTTCCTTCTCCACATCTGCACGTTTTCTTCAGGGAGTGTGAGCGAATGTTATAAGTGAAAGAGGGTCAACACATTTCATTTAAAAATATAAACAGAAAGAGATGCCTGACACTGCACCGCACGCTGACATCCTCGGTCCTGATGTCCGAGTGATAGTAAAATTGGAGGCTTTGAATGAAAGGAGCCCCTGTGCCCTCCTCAGGGACCCGGGGCCGACTCCCAGCCCAGGCCCCACCCCGTCCAGCCCTCACCTAGGTGAGCGCCACCCACTGACGGTCGGTGCGTGGATCATGAGCTCCCGGGCACTGAAGCCGTCTTCGTGTCCAGATGAGCTGACGACAACAAATCCAATCTTGTGGGGCATTCTGCGCGTTTGGGCTGTTTATAAGAGAGCAGGAAAGATTTCTTTAAAACACAGGAATTCACAAACACATGAACATTTAAAGGGTTAGTTCATGCCTTGCTGACACACACAATAATGCACTAAGTATTCAGAATTTTCCCATCTCTTTGAAAGAGTCTTTTTTTTTGTTGTTGTTAAACACTTTGTATAGATACTTCTGACTCTGTTTAAGGTATCTTTTAAGTTATCTTGACTTTTCCCAAACATGTGTCCAAAAAGTTTGACCAGTGTTGTGGATGGTGTTCCCCAAAAAGATACGTTAAAGTTCCACCTGTGGTACCTGTGAATGTGACCTTATTTGAAAATAGGGTCTTTGTAGGTGTGATCTAGTTAAAACAAGGTCCTCGGGGTGGGCCCAATCCAATGTGACTTTTAAGAAGAAGGGAAGAGACACAGCCACACAAAGGGAGAGCACCATGTGGCGACAGAGGCAGGCACCGGAGCGACGCATCTCTAAGCGGGCCTGCCGAGCACAGCTGAGGACAGGCGAGGGCGGCCAGCAGGCACCCAAGGCTAGGAAGAGGCCAGGAGGGATCCCCCCATCCTCCAGAGTGAGAGCGCAGCCCTGCCCACACAGCCTCCAGAATGAATTTCTGTTGTTTTAAGCCATCTAGTTTATATTTTGTTATGGCAAAAATAGTTTTTCTCTAGAATATAAACACAAATATATTTCTATTAGTTAGGAAACGAATAGAACCAGTACATTAATTAGTGATACAACAACAAGGGGGAAAAGGCAACGTAGGCGCTAGCCTAACAACTGCGAAATGAATGCGTATGAGCAGAGGGAAGAGCAGGAATGACAGGCAGGCGTATTAAGTACAAAAACGTTCATGCAGAGTCAGGCTGAGGGACTGACTCACAGGACATTGAGCCCAATTTGCTCGGGGACTCTGGGTTACTTTTCAGTTACTAAGCCAGTCAGATTCTTCCTAAGTAAGCCAATTTGGGTTAGGTCTAAATCATCAGGAAAACAAAAAAAGGCTCCTCACTAAACTAGGATAAAGAAGACTCCATTAGAAGTTATCTGGGATAAGATAAACTATTAACTGAAATTCCCAATAGGAGGTAACATATAAACATACCCCCAAGTAAAACTTTACGTATTTTGACATGTTTGATGCATGATCTAGATCTTTCTTTTACTTTCATTGAGAATTTGAGGAGGACCACTTCAATATATTAATTCTTGGCTGGCATTATTGCTGATGTTTTTTGGAATGTATGAACAAAAGCACTAGAATAGAATGACATTGAGATCCTAGTTATTTTTTGCACAAAGTTCACTGCAAGACGTTACTGTATATTAAACGAAAACAAAACTAAACCAACCCAGAAAATAATTTTTAAAAAGCCCCCCAAAACAGGATAAGGCTGGGTGTGGTGGCTCACGCCGATAATCTCAGCACTTTGGGAGGCCGAGGTGGGAGGATCACTTGAGCCCAGGAGCTTGGGACCAGCCTGGGTAAGATAGTGAGACCCTGTCTCTAAAAAGACCAAAAAAAAAAAAAGAATTTTGAAAGGATGAGTGTGATTCAACCCACTGTTAGCTGCACAGCCACACCTGTACTCCCGGCACCCTATGCCAGAAACGCACAGCCCATGGCTCCTCCTTCCTCGTGACCTAGCACTTCTGGGTCGCTCGGGCTCTGAGCCCAGAGGTACTTTTCCCTTGGCCACAGCATCTGTCTTCATCCACTCCCCACCCAGCGGTGTGCCAGGTCTTATCAGGCCTACCCTTCCTTCGGATCCCACTGTCTTTTCTAGACAGCAGCTGCCTGGTGTCCTCACCTGGAGCACCTCCCTCAGACAAGTCCTAAGCTCCTGTTGTGTGAACGCACTTCAGAATCAGCTCTAGTCATCTCCATCCATGTCCCACCTCCAGAGCTCTTGGTGGGCTCCCCATCTACGGATCAATGAGCCCACTCTCCCCTGACCCTCACTTCTTGTCCTGAATTCTGAAGTCCAGCCAAACAATCAAAGCTCTAAGTTAATACCCTTCAGCTCTGAAGCCCTCCAATCCTTTCATCATCTTTCTATCCTTTTCTGAGACAGAGTATCACTCTGTCGCCCAGGCTGGAGTGCAGTGGCGTGATCTTGGCTCACCGCAGCCTCTGTCTCCCGGTTCATGTGATTCTTGTGGTTCAGCCTCCCAAGTAGCTGGGATTACAGGCATGTGCCACCATGCCTGGCTAATTTTTTTTTTTTTTTGGTATTTTAGTAGAGATGGGGTTTTGCCATGTTGGCCAGGCTGGTCTCGAACTCCTGGCCTCAAGCAATCTCCCTGCCTTGGCCTCCCAAAGTGCTGGGATTACAGGTATGAGCCACCATGCCAGGTCCCTTACATCATCTTTAAGGGCAGGGCCTGTCACTCCCTATCCCACCTTGAAAATAGCTCTTGTGCTCAAGCTGTTGGGTTCCAGTCTCCAATTTTTTTCTTTTTTTTTGAGAGGGGGTCTCACTCTGTCATCCAGGCTGGAGTGCAGTGGCGCGATCTTGGCTCACTGCAACCTCTGCCTCCTGGGCTCAAGTGATTCTCCAGCCTCAGCCTCCCAAGTTGCCAGTATTATAGGTGCACACCACCACACCCAGCTAATTTTTATATTTTTAGTAGAGATGGGGTTTCACCATGTTTGCCACACTGGTCTTGAACTCCTGACCTTAGGTGATCCACCCGCCTCGGCCTCCCAAAGTGCTGGGATTACAGGCATCAGTCATTACGCCCGGCCCCATTTTTTCTTTTTTCTTTTTTAATACAGGTTCTCATTCTGTTGCCCAGGCTGTACTGCTGCAGTGGCGTGATCATAGCTCACTGCAACCATGAACTCCTGGGCTCCAGTGATCCTCTTGTCTCAGCCTCCTGAGTAGCTAGGACTACAGGCACATGTCACCATGCACAGCCACTTAATTTTTTTTTTTGTAGGGATGGGGTTTCACTGTGTTGCCTAGGCTGGTCTTGAACTCTGGCCTTCAGTGTTCCTCCCACCTTAAAGTGTTGGGATTACAGGCATGAGCCGCCAAGCCTGGCTAGTCTCTGATCCTAACCAACACTCTCTGTTATGGCTCGAAGACGTAAACATAGGACCTTTTCTGTCAAACGGAAGGGTGTTTCCAGTATGCTATACTGCCCCCAACAAATCTAAAACAAAGTACTGGCATTTAAGAACCAGCAAAGAGAAATGCACGGGCACTGTGGAGACAATGCTATCACCTCAGTCTGGTATTTGAAAAGGATTCCTTTTTCAGTTTACCCCCTCCCAAAGCCCTTCCAGTTGTAGCCTAGGGTACCCTCTGTGTAAACCTTCAAGTGTTACATAAGATACTTGGAGTGTCACTGAAGATTGCCACTGTTAGGCTCTATAAAAGTCACCATTAACAATTTGGGAAGAAGCAAAGCTCTGTTGAACGTCCAGTTATTGGCTAGTCTTCCTCACCAGAGGCATGTGGGATCCCCGTTGTCCCTGGGACAGTCATCGGCATCCCAACAAGTGCCAGAGTACATCTCTCCCCAGGCAGCGATTATTCCATGGGGGTCTCATCCCTCACTACGCTTTTCCTAGTGCTGGCATGGCAAAAGGCAATTAACTATAAATTCAGCGGAAACTCAATGTAGCAACTTCCATTTTGTTACAAGAGTGGGAAACAAAACTTGTTTCTGATTATCTTTTTTTTTTTTTTTTTTGAGATGGAGTCTCACTCTGTTGCCCAGGCTGGAGTGCAGTGGCACACTCTAGGCTCACTGCAAGCTCCACCTCCCGGGTTCACGCCGTTCTCCTGCCTCAGCCTCCCAAGTAGCTGAGACTACAGGCGCCCGCCACCACGCCCGGCTAATTTTTGTGTGAGCCTGCCACTAAGCCCGGCTCTGATTATCTTTTTAAGAAGACTTAAGTGTGACCGCGCGCGGTGGCTCACGCCTGTAATCCCAGCACTTCGGGAGGCCGAGGAGGGCGTATTACTTGAGGTACGGAGTTCGAGACCAGCTTGGCCAACATGGTGAAACCCCGTCTCTACTAAAAATAAAAAAAATTAGACGGGCGTGGTGGTGGACGCCTGTAGTCCCAGCTACTCGGTAGGCTGAGGCAGGAGAATCGCTTGAACCCGGGAGGCGGAGGCTGCAGTGAGCTGAGATCGCGCCATTGCACTCCAGCCTGGGCGACAGAGTGAGACTGTCTGAAAGGCTTATGGGTTTCTGGTCAAGTCATCTTAGCGACTGAAAGGGCTTCAGAGAAATCTGAAACTCAAGTGCAAACAAAACAAAACAAACCCCAAAACAAAAAACAACCAACCATCAAACTTTAATCTCTACAGCGGCAGAGCAACTTTCCTCAAAGTTTTGCTCAGCAGAACACATCTGAAACTGGCCCGCTATGTGCTATGCATCCAGAACAGGAAAAGCCGGACCTGAAAATAATATTCCACGCTAAATGGGCCGTCTCGGCCGGGGCAGGCGCTCCCAGCACCCATGCTGCGCTCCCCGGCATCTGGCACTACCGGGCCGCGCCGGCTCTTCGGCAACAGCAAGCCGGAATCTAACTCCACACCGTCCGGGCTTGCACCGCGCACCCAGGCTTCGTACCCAGCTCCCAGGTGGGGACCGCGTCCCCGCGGCGCCCGCGCCCCGCTCCCCACTCCGGCCCTGGCCCGGCGCCGCGGCGGCCCGGAAGGTACCTGCTCAGAGGGAACGGCCCCGACTTGCGCTGCCGCAGCCCCGGTGGAGAGGGCGGCTGGGTCGCAGCGGTGCCGCGGCCCGGGGAAGCGGCCAGGCGGCGCCTCAGCACCCGGACCCCGGGGGCGGGCGGGCCCCGGCCCCGGCCCCGGCCGCGGCCCCGGCCCTCGTGGACCTCCTCGGCAGCCGCAGCTTCCTCAGACGCAACTCAAGGGGCGCCCCCTCCGCCGCCCCAGTCCGCCTTGCACTCCAAGCTGCTGCGGCAGTGACAGGGAACGAGCAGCCCCGGCAACCTCTGCCCATCGCCCCGGCCGTAGCCGCCGCTCTCATGACAACCAAGCCCAGCCCTGGACCGGGGCCTCTGCGCGTGCGCGACCCCGCCCCGTCCCCGGCCGCGCCGGCGCACAAGGGGAGGCCCCCCACGCTTCGCGGGCGCTCGGGGTAGTGTAGTTTCCGGGGCCACGGCACCTGGGGTACACCAGGTGGTGTCGCGCCTTTGCTTTCCCGAGCCTTCTGGGTAAGGTAATGTAGTATTCGTGAGGCGACGCCTGCGCACAAGACCACGTTGGGCCTCACTTTTCCCAGGCCTTCTGGGTAATGTAGTTTCCGGGATCCGCGCCCGGCCTGTGCCAGCTTGCAGAGCTCACCAGGTGCAGACCCCTGCGGCCAGGGCGAGGACGGATCTGAGCAGCCAGCCAGCAGGTGCCGCCGCCCGCGGGACCCAGAGGCCTTGAGCACATCTGCAATGCTCCAGAAGCCCAAGAGCGTGAAGCTGCGGGCCCTGCGCAGCCCGAGGAAGTTCGGCGTGGCTGGCCGGAGCTGCCAGGAGGTGCTGCGCAAGGGCTGTCTCCGCTTCCAGGTGCCCGCCGGGCTGGGCGGGGACTGCCGGCCGGGGAGGTGTGTGGGGAGAATAGGAGGTGCCGCTTTTCCTCTTCCAAAACAGAGGGTGCGGGCGGCGCCCGGGGCGGGTAGTTTTCGTTCGCCTCAGCCGCTAGGCCCCCGGGCCCCCGCAGCCTGGGGTTCCTGAGCCTGGCTTCAGAGCGCAGGGGGCTTGGGGGGCGACCTAGATCACCCCTTCCCTCTTCCCACCGCTCGGGCAGGACAGCCCTGCATCAGAGCTAGGAAACCCGGGTTGAGTGCCAGGTGCTGGCACGCGGGGTCACGGCTGCTCTGCCTGCCCGGCCTCAGCTTCCCCTGGCGTAAAATGAAAGCCTTGACTGGGTGGGCTCTGCAGGCCCTTGCAGCCCTCGCAGCTGGGGATTGCAATCGTCACCTTATTCTAGGGTGGTTTTCTTTTTTGGACCAGTACTAGGGTTACCAGGTGTGCTTTGCCGGGGTCGGTACGGGTTGGGTGGGAGTTGCCATAAAATGCCTAAAACTGACCAGTGCAGAGTAACAGGGAACCAGACTCCAGCAAATTAACAGTGCCCCCTGCCGGCCACACTTGTGCACAGAGGCATCCAACCGTTCTCCTTCGTGTGCCGGCACCGCCCTGGCAGCTGTGTGCTGGGGGTGGTGGTGGTCAGCTCCTGGTAGCAGGGAGGCCGCGCTGTCAAAGACAGGCTCTATTTGAAGTACCCTCAGGAGCTCATTTTAAAAGGGTGAATCCTGCAGAGCCAGCAGTCGCCACCTGTTGTATGTTTTTCCTGACTCTTCGATTTTTAGAACGGCCCGCAGTCAGGCGCCCTTGCTCGGCTCCCTTGTCCTTGCCCGGGCGTTGGCGTGGCTGTGGTATACAGGCAGCAGCCTGAGCCTGCTTCTTTAAACACAGCTCATTCTGGTCGTTTGTGAGGCCTGCAGATGAAAAGCCCTCGTCTTGAGACCCTTCCTCCTCCTGTCGCCTCTCCCGCCCCTGCAGCTCCCTGAGCGTGGCTCCCGGCTGTGCCTGTACGAGGATGGCACGGAGCTCACCGAAGACTACTTCCCCAGCGTTCCCGACAACGCCGAGCTGGTGCTGCTCACCTCGGGCCAGGCCTGGCAGGGCTGTGAGTGGCAAGGACCTTGGAGGTGGGCGGGAAGCTGGCACTCTCGGATGTCCTGGGGGCTTAGCTCCGGGTGCCCATCAAGGTGGGGAAGGGTCCCCCTTACTGTGAACTCTCGGGTCTCAAGGAGGAAGCCCTCTGGAGTCAGAACCGGTCAGCATCGCTTAGGTGGCAGAGTCCTCAGTCCTCTGGTTCATGAACTCAGCTGTTCGGTTGGTTGTCTTTTTCTTCAAAAAATCTTGTAATTTCATTTACGTTCATTTGAGGTGTCCTAGCAATTCCCAAGAGTAGAGGGAGGGCTTTGGGGTTGGGGCCTGCACAGTTTTGTGGGGAAGGTGGGGCCAGGAATAGACACCCTTCTTTTCTGCTGGGCTGAGCACCCTTCTGGAAGGCCGGAGTGTTGGTTCGTGGGATGCCCTCACATTGTTCTCGGTTGGTGTTTGCTGAGATGCTGTCCTCAGGGCTCATGTTGGGGGGCAGTTGCTTTGAGAGGTGGTTCTTTATGGGTATCTGTATTGAAGCCTCAGGACACAAAGTCCCGCCTTTCAGAACCAGCTGAATGCCAAGGTCTGCGCTTGTTTGACTCCCGTAAAAGAGAGCTTTTGGCCACTGGGGCGGGAGACGCCATCATGTGCCTTTACCTGGGAGAGTCAGCCAGTGTTGTACAAAGGAGGTTAGGCTCCAGGAGATGCTTCTGGTACCCCAGGAAGGACATGGCTGCTCTGAGGGCTGGAACTCTGGCTCCTTGGCCTGAGGAGCAGAAAGAGAGAAGTTGAGGAGTAACGTCCATGTGGCCACCTCCCTGGCTGCAGTGTTGGGGGCTCCGCTGTCAGCATTGAGGGGTGACGCCTCTGGAGTGTGCTCCAAGGTTGCAAGCCCCCTTTTCCACTGGGCCTTGTGCTTTTAGAGGACGCAGCCAGAAAATGTATCACTGTGATGTCCCCTGGGGTGGCCCCTGCGGGAGGCGGGGGCTGGGCAGGGTGTGCTCAGGGTATGCCTCACCTTTGGATGTTATCTTTCTTTCCCGTTTCGGGGCATAGTTGAAAGAGAGCAGAGCACATTGCTCTTTCTGTCCCTCCCCGCATCTCTCAGTCTCTGGCTCTCTCCTCTGTCTGTCTCTGTCTTTGTCTCTCTCTGGCTCTCTCTGCCTGTCTCTGGCTCTCTGTCCCTCCTTTCTCTGGTGCTTTATCCCCCTCTCTTCCCTGAGACCACTAGTCCTCCTCCTCGTTAGACTTAAAAAATTTGTTTTTCTTTTCTTTTATTAAAACATTGAAATGGGGTCTTGCTCTGTTGCACAGGCTGGTCTCAAACTCCTGAGCTCAAGAAGTCCTCCTACCTTGGCTTCCCAAAGTGCTGGGATTACAGGCATGAGCCACTGTGCCTGGCCAAAAAACTTTTATTTTCTTTATATATTTGAGACTTTGTTGTCCAGGCTGGAGTGCAGTGATGGCTCACTGCAGCCTCAACCTCCATGTTTCAAGCAATCCTCTCCTGCCTTAGCCTCCCAAGTAGCTGGGACCACAGGCATGCGCTACCATGCCTGGCTAATTGTTTTGTATTTTTTGTAGAGATGGGGTTTCGCCATGTTGCCCAGGATAGTCTCACACTCCTGGGCTCAAGCTGTCCTCCTGCCTTGGCCTCCTAAAATGCTGGAATTACAGGTGTGAGCCACCGTGCCTGGCCTAAACTGTTTATTTAGAAATAATGATAGATTCCCAGGAAGTTGCACAGATAGGAAGATCCCATGTACCTCTACCCTTTCCCTCAGAGGGGACATCAGATACAATCGTGGTACAATATCAAAACAGGAACACTGACACTAGTGCAATGTGCATGTTGTTGTCATTTCTTCCCATGCAGATTCCTGTGACCAGTGTCAGGGTCAAGGTACAGACCTCTCCCATCCATCACTCAAGGTTCTCCCCTTTATAATCCTGCCTACCTCTGCCCACCACCAATCCCTAGCCCGTAGTAGCAACTGCTGATATGTTCTCCATGTCTATAATTATGCCCTTTAAAGAATATTAGGGACTGGGCGCGGTGGCTCACACCTGTAATCCCAGCACTTTGGGAGGCTGAGGCGGGTGGATCACCTGAGATCAGGAGTTCAAGACCAGCCTGGGCAACATGGTGAAACCCCGTCTCTACTAAAAATACAAAAATAGCTGGGCGTGGTGGCAGGCACTTGTAATCTCAGCTACTCAGGAGGCTGAGGCAGGAGAATCGCTTGAGCCCAGGAGGTGGAGGTTGCAGTGAGCTGAGAGTGCCCCATTGCAGTTCAGCATGGGTGACAGGGCGAGACTCCGTCTCAAAAAAAAAAAAAAAAGAATATTAGGTAAGTGGAATCATAAAGTATGTGACCTTTTGAGATAAGCCTTTTTTACTCCACATAGGCTCCTGAGATGCATCTAAGTTGTGTGTATCCATAGTCCGTTCCTTTTCGTTGCTGAATAGTATTCCATGGTTTGGTTTTACCACAGTTCGTTCAGCCATTCGCCTGTGGAAGGATATTTTGTTTGTTTCCAGTTTTTGACTATTACAAATAAAGCTGCTCTGGCCAATTATGTGCAGGTTTTTCTTTTTTCTTTCTTGTTTTATTTTGAGACGGTCTCACCATGTCGCCCAGGCTGTAGTGCAGTGGTACAATCACAGCTCACTGAAGCTTTCACTTCCTGGGCTCAAGCGATCCTCCCACCTCCGCCCCTGAGTAGCTGGGACTACAGGGGTGCACCACCATGCCCCGCTAGTTTTTGTATTTTTTGGAGAAACAGGGCTTCGTCATGTTGCCCAGGGTGGCCTTGAACTCCTAGGCTCAAGCGATCGACCTGCCTTGGCCTCCCAAAGTGTTGGGATTACGGGCGTGAGTCACCGTATCTGGCCCTCTTGAAAGGTTTTTGCGGGATATGGGTTTTCATTCCTCTGGGGAGAATGCCCAAGCGTGCAGTGCTGCATTGTGTGGTGTGTGTTTAGTTTCTGAAGACAAGGATGCCCACTCCTGCTGCTTCTGTTTAACATGGTACTGCAGGGTCTGGCCAGGACATTTAGGCAAGAAAAATAAAAGGCATCTAGATTGGAAAGGAAGTAGTGAAGCTATCTCTATTTGCAGATCATATGAACTTGTATGTAGAAAACCCTAAGGAATCCACTAAAAAACTATTAGAACTAATCATCAAGTTTAGCAAGGTTGAAGGATACAAGATCAATATGCAAACATAGAAATATACTTACAATGAGCAATCTGAAAATGAAGCAGAAAAAATCCCATTTACATTGGCGTCAAAAAGAATAAAATACTTAGGATAAGTGTAACAAAAAATTGTAATATTTATATTTTGAAAACTGCAAAATGTCGTT